GGTGATCGTACATGTCCTCTGCCAATTTTAATGCGTTTGCCCCGCTAATAACTGAGCTGAAAGATTTAAGTCTCGGACAGTAAGCATGTACACGTGGTAAAGTGGACGGGGCAGAGCGAACAGCTCCCAATTCCATTCCATTGATTCCATTGATTAATGACCTGTTATTATCCCTGTGTGGCTGATTTAACCCGCGCCGGGTCGGTGCTCCGAGACTTCTGCGCCGGGCCGGGGTGTGTGTGTGTGTGTGTGTGTGTGTGTGTGTGTGTGTGTGTGTGTGTGTGTGTGTGTGTGTGTGTGTGTGTGTGTGTCTAAACACACCCTTCTAACTCAGCTCCTGGGCCACGTAGCGACACGCGGTAAGCGGCAATAGAAAGAACGTCAAAAATAAGGACGAAAACACCTCAGTCATTTTTGGGTCAGGTCAAACGTCAGGTCAGCAGAGGTCACCAAAGGTAAAATGTTGGCTATTTCAACATTTTGGAAACTGCCAAACGGCTAACTCTGGAACCGATAGAGCTACAGTGCCACGGAAAGCGCATTCGATAGCTCTTTGAACGCTCTTTTGCCAACATGCCATCAGTTTTGACCTCAGGTCAACGGTTTAGCCTCCAGAGGGCAAAAACTCCAAAAATAGCCGTTTTTACGAAAATTATTTTTTTCCGGCAATAACTTCTGACTCAAAAGAGCTACGACATTACTTTTGCCAGCATCGTGTTCCTCTCGTCGAGACGCTTCGAATGAACTATAATTTGACCTTGAGAAAATTTGACCTCAGGTCAAGGTCATGACCTGACCGGAAAAGGTTATGTTGCATTTCAGTCGATCCGCATCGTCGAGCCGAACACATCTAATGCGGCGTTTTCATCGCTCTAGCATGCCTATATCAGAAGTTATTAGCGAAAAACTTTTAGATAGGCGTGACCTGAGATGACCTCGCGGACATAACGAGGGGTCACAGGTGCCATTTTCCGGTTCAGTGTGTCAATTTTACCTGCACCCTGATGTTTGAGAGTGTCTAGAAAAGAGTCCGTGCAAAAGAGACGCTTTTCAATGTTCTCCCATTGGCTTAGGTATAATGGAGAGGCTGCAAAATTTGCCTGACCTTAGGTCACCGATATAAAGATTGCGAGATAAACGTTTATAGATACTGTTACTGTTATCAATCACGGAAAGTTTCCAGGCAATCGTTCAGTCGTTGTAGCTATGAAGAGCATTCTACTTTTTTTCTGAGGTTAGGTCACTAGGTTCCTAGGTCATTAGGTTCCTAGGTCACTTGGCGTGAACTGGCGACCTGACCTTGAGCGACCTGGGCTGGGTCTGAAATTTTCACATGTGCGTGCGGGAAAGATGCAAAAACAGTTGTGCCAAAAACGGCGACGGCGCCCGCCGTTTTTGAGATATCTGCAAAAAAAAAACAACAGCAGGGAGCAGGTGTTCAAACACCCTTGGCCCGGCGCGGGTTAATGACCACAATAGGGTTGGGACCTATCTGCATGCTCTGTATGTTTTGGTAAAATAAAAAAGCTCAGAATTTTTAATGATTTAATTTAAAATCACTTTGTTAAAAAGATGCCTAGTTAGTTCAGAAATTAATTATTTGTGGCTGAAAACAACTTGCTTCTGATTGGTCGGGCTAATCATGACGTCACATGTAGGTATATAACTGTCTGTATATTTGGCGCAGTTGAGACATACATTTTCTATGTATTTTCCTATGGTAAATCGGAGTGATTGGTCGTGTTTTCAGTGTCTCTTTATTTTGCGCTGGTATTGCGTGGCTAAGAAGTTTTATCAAGAATGGCATATACTAAAATGTTCCTTTAATAATGGAGCTTCAATATCTGTGAGTTTTATTGGCAAGCGAAAACTGATTTCGCTGTTATTTTATCTGGAAATTACTCATTTTTTTAGGTCAATATTCAAAATATTTTACGGGAACAAGTTGGCACTTTTCTTGATTTTTGCACTCAAATCGCGTGCTATTTAACTGTATTGGAACTTGCAAAGAAGCTTGGTGATTAATTAACTGTGTTGTTATGGCACTGTTTGCAAAGCATGGATAATGAAACTCTGCCAAAGACTTAGCTACATAGCAATGCCTCAAGTAATACGCAGGAGGGACAGAATTCAGAGTCCGATCGAGAAGAATCGGTGCAAATGCTACGAAGACCAGGCAGCTCTGATACAATAGCTAGTCGTCTCACTACTCTCACTCCATTAGACCAGCTGATTCCTGACAGCACCGACTCGGATGCAAAGATGGAGCTCATCTTCCAAGCCAGAAACCAGTTCTTTGATGGAAGATGTGATGCTGCCTCTGTCTCTGCTTTGTTGGCCACTTTGGACGGGGCGGAGCTCCGCTCCTTGCGTGAGCGGTTATTCGCCTGTCATCCAGAAATAGTTCCTTCGTTTGCTGGCCGTTCCCTGATTAGGTGCAATACGGGGAGCTGTAATCAGGGAAGTAACTTTCCATATGAAAGGGGTGCAGGTGCACCCCCGTCCCCCATCCACTAGAAGTGCACCCCCATAGGCTAAGCGGCGCCCCACACGCCGCCCCACACGATTAGCTCTAGAGCAGATGGCGAGGGTGATTTCTCGGCTACATTCCATCTCGGCGTCGTGATGCTTGTGGGCTTGGAAAGCGTCCAGTCGTATGTAGGGTAGTGTAGGGGTAGGGTTGAGTTCAATAAGGTCCTTACATTTGAAAGGTTTGAACAACCCGCAATCAGCACAACATACCACAAGTTAAATAAAAAACTACCAAACCCCGCCCAACTAATATTAATAAACATTACAGCCAAACTAATGGCCTAAATAAAGATATATCTCAAATCCTAACAGTTATCGCGGGTGATGGCGCCATGAGTTGCTATTATCCAAAACAGATGCAAATAAACATGTTTGTATGTCCTATGTATGTTTGTTTTAAAAACGTTGCAGCGGCGCTGGGAACTGCAGTCTTAGATCTGGGTATGTTTGGCATCTGCAACTCTTCATATATGTACACATTAACCCTATTTCGGACGGGGAGACCTTTCAGGATGTTCTTGTACAATTGCCAAACGCCGCGAGACATTCAGCTCATATTTGGTGACTTTTCCTAAATGCTCATTACGCACATCTCAGCAAAAAAAAAAAAAAAAATGCCGGGTCAGGTCAGGTCAGGTAACCAGAGCGGGTTTGTTGACCCCACCTCAGAAAGTTTGCAAACACGTCAGAGCTTGAGTTTTTCACGAAGTTATTTCCTCTCATCAAGTCTTCAAAACAGTACCTGCAGTATGTGTCGTTTGTATATTTCAGAATTTTTGAGCTGTGACCTGAGGTTAGGTCAGAGTCGTGACCTTTACATTGCAAGCCTAAGAAAAGTATTGAAATGCGACCTGCACCTCGAGTAAACGAGTCAAAACCACCCAATTCTTTAAGAATTATGACAAATTATTTTATCTGTAATGATCCAGGTGTCATGACAGGGACACCGGAGAGGGTTATCTGAGCCGAGATCATGTGAGGTGATATCTACCATACATCAATGCTCACAATACTTATAGCTTTTGCTTACAACACTTACAACACTTACAATACTTACGATGAGACCAGCAAGCACTCTGCCGTTACAGTTCTAACTTCTGTTTCGAAAAACGACGTTACACACATTCGCTGCCAGCATAACATGTATTGTTTGACAGTAACAAAATACAATTGACATCTGAACCCCAAACGGAGCGCCATCCACTCAAATTTTATAACCCTGACCGGTCAGGGGGCGAATGGAGGTCATTTCCTGGACATTACACTCAGCCCTTGCACAAAATATCTCACCTCACAGTGATCATTACAACAATAGCACCGACTTGATAGTGGATTTCAAAGTACTTGCATCAGCTCTTCCTGCTATTGCAGACGATCATCTCCTGAGGGTAATGTTGTTCGGGACATGAACGAAGATCGTTTTCGGAGTTTCATAAGTGCTACTGCAACAGCCTGGCACAAAACAGGACTTGTACGCTCTTCTCTGCACTTTGCCCTTCAGTATATCACAAAAGAATTGTTTAGAATCCATCTTACGCTTCTTTCACAGCCTCCCTTGCCACCGTAGGGCGTAGATAGATTGCTGTTGCTGGTAAGTTAAGGCACGGTATTAGAAATTACCTCGGTTCTCAACGCCTTAAGTTATTTTCATAAAAAAGAACAAATAAATAATCAATAAGATGACAGGAATGTAAACATTTTAATCGTAAAGTAGTCCAAATATTGGAATGAGCTTTTGCTTTTCAGCATCCTCCGATTCATCATCTTTATCATTTGAAAATTCGAGGTACATAAAATGTTTATCACGCGCTCATGTTAAGTGGGAATATAGTACACGGCAGACACATCAATTTTTGACACTGAACATTTCATCCGTAAATGTTTTAGCACAATTAAAGGTAAAAACAGTGCGAATGGCAGAGTGAAGCAAACAACATATTTCACCCATTGATATAACATGTAATCGTGGTGCGCCAGATGCGCCATTATTTGTCAACCGCAGAAGGTGACATGTGACGTAACAGCATCAAGAGCATCTTTTTTCAAGAACTTTTCAAAACAAGTTTCCTATCTTTCTTCCCCCATTTCTCTCAGCTTATTGATTTTATGAGGCAATGGTATGCACCATAAATTCTGTGAAAATAGTTTGATCATTTTCATGCATTCTTAAAAAATCGAGTTCCCAACCCCATTGACCTCGGTATACAGTTAGTACTGTCGGTACCTGTACCCCATGTACGCAGGTAGCCACCTCACGTAGTGGTGATGCCATGGTGTCTGGTGGTGATCCATGTTTGGCGGACAGCTTTGATTTTTACGCACGCTCGATTTCCTTGATATGCACGTCCGTTAAATTCAAGCTCATTGTAACCCTTTTCTCCTTCAAAACATATTTCGAAGCCTGATCTTGGTTGCATTATTTTCTACTCATTCTTTCGATGCTATTCTAAAAATAAAATAATCAAAGACATGTATTTTTAATATTGTATTAATTAACTTCAAAATGTAAATAATGGTCATGTAAATAAGGAACAAATCCGTAGGCATTTCATACCGCCGATGTTTTGTGCGATTTACAGTGTTGAACAATTAACCAAAACAAAACAGTGTACATTAAACCTACGTGTCATAGGAGAACGTCATTAAGTGTGGTTAAAACGTCATTTGACAAAACTTAACCATACGCCACATAGGCGGCGGAACGGGGAGGGCACCGGGACACCGTGCCCCCCTTTGATTTTGGCATTTTAACATTAGCTCTATGGGCGTTGCATGGAAAGAATGGGACCAAAAGTCGGCAGTGCCCCCCCCCCCCCTAATTGAAGGTGTTCCGCCGCTACTGCTAATGGCACATCATAAATGCGTGCCTTATACGGCCCTTTTGTCCACATGAAATAGTTGTGCAGTTTTGCTTCATGACGAGCATATGCCATAATTTCTGTAGGACATTTAGCACGAAATGGTATTTGGTCCGACTGCATGTACTCGTATGTTCCTAAGTTGTATAGTTATGCCTACCACTAGGTTGACTACACACTATCTCATACTCCTTTGTAACTACCTATCACGTCATAAAACTGGTGTTGTCATCAGCATTGAATCCTGACCAGCTTACACGAGGCATAACCATCAACTAACAACATTTTGCTCGCAATAGACGGTCGTCTTTTACACACAGCATGCAAAGCACCAGATGCACACTAACGCACACACGTTACGAGCTGCCTCACACCTTAAAACGATTCCCAGCATATCTTCGTCTGTCATGTGTTCCTACTGCTGTTATTCATCAGAGTTGATGAAATAATTATCAAAATATGACCTAAAGCATCTTTCTTCAGCTTGAGCCATTCGTTTTCAAAAAGAAAAAAAGAAAAAAGAAAACGGACGGAAATCTGTTTTCGTCGAGCATTGGTCCCAATGCGCTAAAACCCTCAACAAACGCACTACACGTTTCAGAACTAATCTCAAACACGCTCAGCACACAGCACACCCGCGCTCCTCTGACTATTACCGGCGGCGGCCCGGCTGCAGCTGCGATCAGAAGCCGGCCACGTCTCCGCCCTTCCTGTGATCGGCGTTGGCCTCCAGACGACCGTCGGGAGTGCTCACCACGCCGCACACAATGGCCAGTGGCTGGGACGACTCCTCCACCGTGTGGCCACGCTCGGTCAGCTTGTCCAGCAGCACCTGCGCCAGCGGCGAGAGACTGGGCGTCAGCATCTCGGAGTCACACACACCTGAGGAGCTTTGACAAAGAGGGAAGAGACGTTTGAGGCATTCGCTGCTCTGCAGCGTCCGAAATTGACGAAATTTTGTTATTTCTTGGCATGAAAAGAAAACCAATATTTATCTTAGGGGAAAAGTGAAGCTTTAAACTAGAAAACAACGCATGTGGAGCCGACATAATATTATTATCTAGAGAACTTATTAGGGGAGTGTGCCTTCCTGCGGCATCCTAAGCTATTCTTCTGTATCCAACCAAGGCTATAGAACTCCAGGTAAGGACACCAGCCCAGCGTTACCGCTGGCGTCTCGCTGGTTTCCCCAGATTCTCACGAAAATTTCCCTATTTTGAAAATTATTTCCCTAGATGCGGCTATTTTTCCTGGAACTTGACGTACTTTCGTCATTTTAACCATTCGTGTTCTAGTCGCTGCGTCGTAAACAGCAATTAACTACATTCTGTTACGTTAACGTAAGAGATTGTAATGAAATTGCTGGCATATAGCAAATTACTGTATGTGGTATAATATAAGTGCGTGGTATATCGCAAATTGTGTGTTGCGGGACGCGGGAAACCAGGGCTGCGGAGTCGGAGTCGGAGTCGGAGTCGGAGTCGGTCGGAGTCGACAGTTGTGACCGGAGTCGGAGTCGGAGTCGATTTTAGAAACCCGAGCCGGAGTCGGAGGAGTCACCGAAAATCTGTCGACTCCGCAGCCCTGCTAGGTCTGCGGAGTCGGAGTCGGGAGTTGGAGCCGTCGGAGTCGACAATTCTGCCCGGAGTCGGAGTCGGAGTCGGAGCTGGTTTTTGAAAGTCGGAGTCGGAGTCGGAGTCGCCGAAAATCCATCGACTCCGCAGCCCTGCGGGAAACTATACCGTATAGGTAGTGCTGGCGATAAGAGACGAGTCGATGCATTATTTCTTTCGCATGCCGTCAGTTTGACCGTAAAGAATTGAAATGCGCTAGAAATAGTAAAAATCGCGCCAAAACAAAAACTTTGATGTAAAAAATTAGCCGCACCCGATATGGTACAATACAAAGCATGGAAGCAGTTTGTTTTGAAATAATAGCAAGAATCATATATGCATGCATAATTTAAATTATGTAATTCTCCCTATGTATTTCAAACGAGAGAATCAAACCTGTATTTTGTGAAAAGTGTTCTCATATTTATTTCATATGACATGCGGAAGAATAATTCATTACAACAATGATTTCGATTGTTGAAAAAAAAAACAATTTTTCGGGTTTGTGGCATTTCCCTAGATTTCGTGGCAAATCCATATATCCCTAGATCTTCGCTGATTTCCATAGAAAAGGGAAATTTCCCTAGCAGCGGTAACCCTGCACCAGCCGTTTGACCTTGAACGCCGCCGGCCGGCCGATGACGTCATTGGAGGCAAGCCGGCTCGGCGGACACACAGGGCGAATGCATAACGGAGGGGCGTTGGAACGTTGCGGGAGCCCAGGGAGATATTTTAAAGTGGTTGCATACCACCATTGTTTGTTGATTGATCTACATACTGCATCCTTTTAAACCTCGATGCATCCTAGGCCTGGATGGTGCGTACATTCGTGGAACGATCACCCCGTCCGACGTCCGTGGTCGAAGCTGTCATAGTATTTAAGACACTAATAAGACGGGTGCAATAACGGCGATCCGATCCCGTCTCTGGCGAATTTAGAGGGGTCGTAAGGACCCAGGCCGAATCTGACCGTCTATTTTTAGGGAAACGGGGTGGGTGAATTGACAACCGATGGCTTAACCCTATTAGTGGCAGGCTCCTCGCTACCCCCTATTAGTGGCAGGGGGGGGGGGCTGTTTACGACCCCCCCTTGATATCTCGAGATCTAACGGGCCGATTTTCAAAATTCAAACGGCATTCGATTTCGCTCAACGTGATCTACATTTCTAAAAAATAAAAATTAAAAAATGTCAATAGGGGGGGGGGGGGTAGAGGGGGGTAAAAACGGGCAAATTGCAGATACATTTTAGACTGTTTATCACGGCCAGGTTTCTGAACCAATCTTAACGTAACTTTTGCCGATCGATAGAGAATGAACCAGGAATTCACATGGATCCTAAAAATATGCATTTTCAAAAATCATAGGCGGATACAGATCATTGAGATTGGGGGTACACAAAAAGTATAGTAAATAAGGTTTTTGTTGGTACTGTTTCTAAAAAGGGTGGTAATGGTCTTGTTATGTTATAATTTTCTTATGAGAGAACGACTAAAATTGTATTGGTAATGCATAGGCGGTGTCAGGGCACCTATGTTGGGAGGTAAAACATAACCCCCCTTTTTGGACGCCTGGATCCGCCTATTATAGCAAAAACGTGTCAAAAGAGGATACACAATCACTGTATATGTTATCACATGATACCTTTCATTCACTGTTCGTAAAACTGGTGCAGCATCGTGATCTTCGCCCAAATGACTCGCTTCACGAATAGGACCCCCCAATTCCCAGTGCTCTGGAGCCGCCCCTGGTAAAGTTATGAACTTGAAATTTTCAGTGAATGTGCCCAATTTAGTTTTAGGAAAAGTCAGAAAATTTCAGCATCGTAGCTTCAGCGGTTTCGGAGATATTCCCGAAAAACCTGAGGGGTGGATAAAAACACCCCCCCCCTGCCACTAATAGGGTTAAGAGATGATGAGAAGGGATCCCGTCGTCGATTGTTGTTTGACAGACAACACATGTTGTACTGGGCGTATGACCATCAGAGGTAATGCCTGAACGTAGGCAAGCATAATTGGTCTGTCATATTGTTTAGGAATATAAAATGGTAATGGAGATCATTGAGGATATGATCTCTACCTTACGGGCCCATAGGGGCACCGCCGGAGCTGTTGTTTTGCCATTGGTCCCAGGCAACTCCAGGGAGCTGCAGTACCCGGCGGCCAAAGCGGCCACCTCGTCGACTCGCAGGTCCTGTGGGATTCCGTGATGCTTTAGTGCTTCACCCACAGAAGCACGGCACGGGCATAGCAGTAGGATGTGGGGCTAGGTGTCTGTCCACCTCTTCATTCAAAGAAGAACGTATACAGCGCCTGGTCCCGCCGAAGCTCGGTATCGACCGTGACTTATTCACAACTGGCGGATCCAGGAAGCGGTATTGGACACTGCGGGGGCTTACCCCAAAAAGGTTTCTCGGAATTTATTTAAAAAACTCGGATTTCGATTCCTTGCGCACTGCTGTGCGGTGTGATTAACCAATATTTCCTCAGAAAAGTTGTGAAGTTTTCATTTATTCTCGAAAATCGATTTCGGGCGCTGCCCTGGTTGTTGGGGAAGACATTTGCCCCAAATGCCTTCCCCTGGATCCGCCAGTCGCCGTTGCCCCCCCCCCCCCCACTCCGAGCTTGACTAAAGACGTCTTCAAACCTCACCAGAAACCGATGGTAAGGTGAATTTAACCCTCGCATGTGTAGGGGGGGGGGTCGGATGGACCCCCCATGGTTTTTCGCGAATAACTCGCGTAAAAAGCGGCCAATCGCGACGAAACTTTCAGTACCCTCGCATTGATCAATTTTACACCTACCCTGAAAATTTCATGACCCTGACCCAAATGACCTTTGACCTGTGACCTCTTTTCCGAGACTATGTTTGGCCGGAATCGCGATTTCGCGTATGTCGGCCCGCACTAGCCGCGTGTTTGCAAGCTTTTCGTGGTTTCAAACGTTCCAACATGTGATTTGATGTTACTCCCGTGTGTGTCAAGGTCACTTGAAGGTCAGGTCAGGTCATTGACCTTTGGTGACCTCGGGTGACCTCGGGTCACTTTTTCGAGTTTTACATGTTTCTAGGCTAGTTTTTGGAGCTGAATTCGAATTTAGCAACCATTTGAACATTTACGAAGTAGTTTTGGTGACTTCGTAACATGTTACGAAGCTGTCAGAGGCGGTTGACACGTACTACGAATACCCGTCATGACGCCTACTGGTTGACCTGACCTGACCTGACCCGACCTGGTCTAAATGCTTCAAGACATCATCTGTGATCAAAACTAACACGATATTCGTTATCAGCATCCCGAAAAACCCCTTAGCAGCCACACTTTACGACTTTCTAACAGGTCCCGATTTTCCCGACTTTGGGTCATTGACCTGACCTGGAAGGTCAACCAATGACCTAGGACCTTAAAATTGGGTATCATCGGCTTCCTCTCGTCACGGGCAACACGCTCGTTTTTTCCGCGAAGCTCTAGCTCGATCAGGGGCCAAACGGCAAGGGGGGGGGGTCCAACCGACCCCCCCCCCTACACATTAGAAGCTGGCAAACGCCGCACACATGCGAGGGTTAAATCCAATAACTCATCTCTGTCTGCCCGCCTAAATATACTACACATGGTACAGCACCCGGCCCTGTCGGAGCTATGAGCCGATCGTGATATTTTCGGCTTTCCCCATCCCAAGCTCGATTAGAAACGTTCTCCTTCCCCACCCGATTGCTGATGTCAATTCAAATTCAATGCCTCATCTCTGTCTGCCCGACCATAACCCATTCATTGCACACCGTTCAGCGCCCGGGCCCGCCAGAAGTATCCTAGCGCGCTGAGCAGTTGCCTCCAGCCGCGTCATCGCGAGGCCCCGCGCGGCCCATAAATGAATACATTGCGCGAATAGCCGTGTCGCCCCCCTGTATCCAACAAAGGGTGAGCAGCAAAGAATTGGCATTGAGAGCCATCTCACACTGGCCGTTGTTCAAGCTCAGGTGTGCGATAAAATGCCTCGCACTTGCAACAGGTTCACTCAACCTAACGCTTAAAGGGACCCTCCCACCTTCAAAAAAGTTAATGAATTGGCATGAAAGTGATGTCCCTTGGTTCAGAAAGAGCGAAAACGAATATCTACCAAATTTCACCGAAAAATATTCACTGGTTTTCAAGATATTAGGCTTTTACTTTTGTTTACTTTTTGGGATCTCCCCTGTTACTAGCGACTTTATTTGGAAGCAATAATTTGGCAGCCTTAAAGTGCGGCAGACGTTGCGCGCAAAGCAGCGTATACCACCACGTGTTAACGATGGTTTTAGTCTAAGATTTAAAAATCGTTAGATCTCCGCTGACGTCACAAATTCTAAGGGGGCATTCCAATGCATTAGCCCCTTAGAATCCGAAAACTGCAAGTTTGAAATTCAATATCTTCGAATTAAAGTATTTTTCGATGTTGTGAGTGCCCAAACCGGTATTTGCAGGCCATGGCCACCAATTTGGCTATCTCAACTCAAAACTAATGTTAAAGTGGGAGTGTCCCTTTAAAACAGGGTGGACGGACACACACCTATTGCCACGTGCCACGTCACAACTCACAGCTGTTGTTAATGAGACTTGACGAGAACATCAATGTGATCTAGAATCTAGACCTTTTATGCATTAGGTATATACATATGCATTTGTTAATGATGGAAAATCAGAAAAATGAAGCATCCAACGATCGTTTTCCTTAGTTCGTTTCAGCAATTCTAATTGAATGAATAAGTGTGTGACAAGTAGATACAATACAATTTATTTCCTCTGATAAGTGAATGTAGGGCTTTGCAAGAGAAGTACTGGAAAACTTATCTTGTCAATTATTGAAGAAATTCTACCTAAAATAGTACAGTGGCGGCGGAAGCAGGGGGGCAAGGGGGGCAGCTGCACCCTAAAGCTATGGAAAGGGGCGCCTCGAAAATCTGTAGAGGAGGTTGGAAGTTAAGAGGTGCGGCAGCCATAAAGCTGAGCAGTGCGACACCGCAACTGATAAAGGCACTTGTGACACAAAGAGGGTGGCAATGACGCGGGAAAAGTATCTTTTGATATGATGAAGAGTGGAGGGCATCCTTATCTGAAACAAAGGCAGATGCTGCCGACCCTGTCGAATATAATCTTGCCAGGCGATAAAGGCTAGGAGGGCGCAGCCACTCGAGAAGCGCGCCATGCGGAAGAGGGGCGCCTGCATGCGAAAGAGGGGCGCCTGTGTGTGGGACGAAAAAGAAACATTTATGGAGACGTCTTTGAAGGCGATAGCCTCCAAACGCCAACACGAACATATGAGGGCTTATAGCGTTGCAGGCTCCATGCGACAAAAAGGGGCGCCTGATGGCCGATATGCGAGAGGAAATTAGTTTGTGTAACATTTATCGGGGGCGGTTTGCCGTTTACAACACATGAATGTTAAGGGAGGTCCGAGATTGGGGCCTGTAAAATTGCACTGTCCGTATGGGCGGTTACACCCCTAGTGCTAGGGCGTATTTTGCGGTTTTTGTTTTTACTGGGGAGATGATTATGACCAGGAATAGCACTCTGCAAACTTCTATGGGCGCCTGTATAGGGGCGAAACTGATTTTCCAGTGCAGGGACGGCCATCGGCATTGTGGGGCGGCATTCATTCCACTAGGGCGTCTGCCAGTGTTGAAGGGCGGTATTCATTTCAATGGGGCGCCCGTTGGTGTTGATGGGCGACATGTATCACCTGGGGCGCCTATCGGAGATTGGGGCGGCATTAATTTCACTGAGGCGCCTATCGGCGTTGACGGGTGGTATTTATTCATCCGGGGCGCTTATCGGTGGTATAGGCCGGTATTCGCTTCACTGAGGTGCCTATCGGTGTTTTAAGGCGGCAGTAAATCCACTGGTGTCTGGGGCGCCTACCGGCGTCGAAAGGCGACATTCATAATTCATTTCACTGGGAGGCATATTGGTGTTGATGTGTAACATTCATTCTCCTGGGGCGCCCGCCAATGAGGGGGCGGCATTTATTCCGTTCCCCTGGGATGGGCCCCTATCGGTGTAGAGGCGTCGCCGTCGTATTAGTTTGAAATGGGGGCACCTCTGGGTGGTAATAGATGCATTCATTTCGCTGGGACACCTACCAGCGTTGATTGCCTGTATTCATTCAATTCGGGCTCCTATCGGTGTTGAAAGGCGGCATTTATTTCACTGGGGCGTCATGTTAACCCGCGACCTGTTGGGGGGGGGCTATTTTTTGCCCCCCCCCCCTCCAGACTTATCGATATATCTCCAGAACCGCTGCGCCGATCGTCACCAAACTTTCAGTACCCTCCCGGACATCAATTTTGCACATTGTGACCAAAAATTTTTCCAAAGGCTATGATAGGTTGGCCGGAAATGACGTCAGAGTGACGTCATGTTCTGCCGTTTTCGACCCAAAAAAGGGTTTCGCGGGAAGAGCTGTCAGGCCTATAGCTTTGCAAATACAAAAAAATGACAAAGACATAAAAGCTGTAGAATGAACAGGGCTACAAAACTGTTATATCAGATTTTTGAAATTTTTGGATTTTGACCCCCAAAAATCAAAAAATAATTTTTTTTGGATATAATAATCGAAAAATCCAAAAAGTTTTTTTGAATTTCGCAAAAACCGGAATATATGTGATAGTCCTTACCGCCTTCCATCCACATACCAAATTTGAGATTGATACCTCTTTTTTGGCGAAGTTATAGCGAAAAAACTGTTCAAAATTGATGACGTCAAATTTTCAAACTCAATTTTTAGCAATTCTAGACCCCGTAGCGCAAAACAAAGACCACCATTAGACTCCCCGTGACGAGCTGCATCGAATCAATACCCATTTTATGCAAAACTATCAACTTTAAAATTTGACCTTTTTTGGCCTGACCTTGACCTGACCTTGACCTGCACTTCACCAGAAAGTGACCTAAGCCGTACCTCATAGTCTTATAACCAACACCATTGAGTTGGAAATGAAAAATTGGCCATAAAACATGCATCACACAACCTTAGTAAAGTTGGGCTCATGTGACCTGACCCGTGACCCTTGGTGACCTGACCTGTGACCTGACCTGTTATTGTCAGTGACCTCTAATAGGAACATATCTACTAGGCAACTGACGCCCTATCGCTGATTCTCGACAAAATGCGTTTTCCTCGGTGTTATAGCGCATTCCCTAGAAGCCCGTGAACGGTGAAACATTTCATCTTTGACCTGACCTGTGACGTCATCGGTGACCCCGAGGTCAATGAAATTTGGTTTCCTTCGACAAATTTGACAGACCTTTCGAACACCGTTTGAATTTTGCGGATCCGTCCAGTAGTTTCGGAGATACGAGGGGGGGGGGCAAAAAATAGCCCCCCCCCCACCAGGTCGCGTTATAAACAGACCCCACCAGGGCGCGGGTTAACAGGTACAACACATTGTCAAACGTCTCTTCACTGTTTGTGTTACTACAACCGTGTATATGGTAAGGGGCGCCCAGCGGGAAGGGGCGCTTCAATATCGTTTGCACCCCTATCCTAGAATACCTTCCGCCGCCACTGAAATAGTATTTACCTGGTGAATGTTTTTTCTTCGCCATTTTCGGTTGATAAGAATGGTACTGGAACATACCCATGGTTTTGTAATTTTGTTATTTGTATTCTGCTTTCTTTGATGATTCGGCCATGTAAAATAATATTTTTTTTTCGATAAAACTGGTAATTGACAGCAACTGCTTGGTACAGCGAAAACTACACCACGACCCTGAAGCCATATACGGCGATATCCGAACCCCGCCAGTAGCCATGGCTTGTTACAGTCAAGGCGGCACTTGAAATAACCATTACCAGCTACGAACAGCATGGATCTATCTATTTTGCCAGATTTATGTACTGCTTTATAGCTTCCATTAAAATTGAAATACTGAAAACAATATGCACAATACATTGCACATGCAGCACACAGTACGTCGGCCAAGAATTCACAACGAGATTAATAGCATTCCAATCCAAAAGCGTCATTGCATTTGAATTCTCTCTACATATATGGACTCGTCAGAAAAAAAGCAAAAGCCAGACGTTACGTAAGCACAACGCTGCCTTACGTTACGTTTATAAACACTCTTTCGCAGCATTTCATGAAGACCGGGTTCTGTTGATATCAATATCAGGCGGAGCAGACCGCCGCCACCGCAGTGGTAGATGTGTTTTCCAGTTAATAGAAGGTTCATGTTACCCATTGATAGCGCCTGTACGCTGGTCAGGCCTATACTTCTACTCATAATTGACGATTAATGAAATGGACCAGCGGTATGCAAGTAGCCGATATCCAATCGACTCCACTCACCATACTTGACTAAAACGCCACTTTACATGTGTGTAGGAATGTACAACGTACATACGTGCAATGTGCATGTGTAGTGTGTGCACTGTATAGTTCATTTCGGAATAATGTTCCACTTTTCACAGGCAATCAGTTGCCTGGAGTGGTAAGCTGTGCCGCATCACACAGACTGAGTGTCACTCCGACCCAACGCTCACAATCGACACGCTTAATCGCGTGATAAGCGGCAGTACGTAGCGTTCCAGTCAACTGATAGATTCAGAGGAGCGGTGCATCATTCTGTAGTCAACTGTAGTCTGTACAGTGTACCTACCGTGCAGGACTGACACCAAAAGTGCTTCCGAACAGTCAGTAAGAACTAATCCCTGCCAGCGTTGAAGCAGAGGTCATTACCTGCGGTGCTCCCTTCTCGATCCTGAGCTGGTCGGGTAACAGCTGATGATGTATTCTTCTGGCGTCGACGGCCTGTTTGATATCCTCTCCCATCCAGAGGTTCCTCGCCGCCACCTAACACGGAGAGAGAGAGAGAGAGAGAGAGAGAGAGAGAGAGAGAGAGAGAGAGAGAGAGAGAGAGAGAGAGAGAGAGAGAGAGAGAGAGGAGAGAGGAGAGATAGAGAGAGAGAGAGATAGAGAGAGAGAGAGAGAGAGAGAGAGAGAGAGAGAGAGAGAGAGAGAGAGAGAGAGAGAGAGAGAGAGAGAGAGAGAGAGAGAGAGAGAGAGAGAGAGAAAAAAAAAAAATCGCAAGATGACAAAAGCTATAACATCGCAGCTTCTCGACACATCGCTGTGCCTTTACATAGTCATAAGAACACGGTCGCTACCAATTTCTAGTCACTCACACGAAATTGCAGTTTCTGTTTACGATATGTAACCGGTCATGCACTACACATGACCGCTAAGCAAGCCACCCTCATGCGTTGCAAACACCGTGAATATGAAATGACTTCAAAGGACATAAATAATACCTCACCACTTTGCAAGCACCTTACACCCCAACACTGGACCATAACAATTTGGCGCAAAACCATGTCGGCTCACTAAATCAGAAGTCGGATGCCATTCCGGCCCGTTTACAACTGCCCCTTGCGGTGTGCACCACTCACATAAGCGATGTTGGAGGTGATTTTACTGCCGCCGGACGCGCCAATCACCATCCGCACCTTCCCCTTCTCATCGACCAGGATAGCAGGGGCCATCGACGACTGCGGCCGCTTGCCTGGCAATCAGGGCCATTGGGCGAGTCAAAACGCAGCCGCTGCAACGCCCCAGTGACGATTTAGCGCATTGCGCACGAAATAAATAGTGCCGTTACATAATACGAACACCTAAGTGTGCGATGAAAATATGTGGTTTAATTGCACCGTTAACACAGGTTTAAATTCTCAAAGAAAATTTACGATCAAGCTTATGCTCGCAATCATCCGTTCAAATATTTCTTCAACAAGTCTATTTCGAGTTTCTGACCGAGCAGTGCGTTCCTCACCGGGCTCTATGAAGTTGGCTTCCGAGGGAGGAAGGCCGAACGAGTTGGTGAAGTTTGAGCTGAAGTCGTCCATTTCGTTGTTGAGGATGATGCCAGTCTGCGGCGACCGGAAACCACTGCCGAAGCTGCGGCGAAAGATGAGAGAAATGTTTACATGAAAGGGTATAGTTAACGACCGTCTGCAAACGGAGCAAGGCAATTTTCCAGCTGCACTACGGTGTACGACAATATGAAAGCTGAGTTTCTGGTATCCGAACTATGTACAAAGATATGGTTGTCATAAGGCCGTGTATTCAGCAATAATGATAGAGGGATCATATTCTCCCAATGTGTAGTCCATATTCTAAAGGCAATGCCTTCATATTCTCCTTATACGTACGGCAAACAGAAAAAAGACAGATGGCTGTGCTGGGAAGGAGTACCGTTTCATTATGTATTCTGTACGGTATCGCCATTAAAAGCGACAGTGTTGTTTTAACAATGTAAATATGCACATAATAATACCAGTATAACGCCTTTTGGGGCGACTAACGGAGCGAGCGAGAGGGTGAGCCTTGCACGTGCGAAATTTTGAGGGGGTACCTCCAACTGACTTGTGCACGGCACCTTACTAACCGGTCTCTAGCGATGTGCCAAATTTGAGCATAATCGGCCCAGCCGTTCTCGAGATCTGGAAGCGGCACCCTGCACGTGCGCACGTGCAAAATGGGTCCCAACTGACTTGTGCACGGCACCCTACTAACTGGTCCCTAACCGTGTACCAAATTTGAGCGCCATCGGTCCAGCCGTTCTCGAGATCTGGAAACGACCCCTGCACGTGCGCACGTGCAGCAGCACCCCAACTCTGGCACATGGATATGCAGTGCCTAGTGGGTGCCTACGTACATGCCAACTTTCAGCGCAATCGGCCAAGTAGTTACCGAGATATTGCAACAATTACAAAACTGACACCTCTTCGTTTTGCACGTGGCACGTGCATAAGGGGTCACCCACATGCATCGGGAATAGTCCAATACTTGGTAGAAGGAATGAAGCTACCCTACAAAAATTACCGCGTGTAAATCGGTCAAGTGGTTGCTGAGATATAAGCCTCGCAAAAGCGTCCGCACGGCCGGCCGGCCGGTCGGCCGGCCGGCCGCTCATACTCAGAAATTTCCGTTAAACTAAGGAAAGACTACGCTCGCTTCGCTCGCTCCGTAATCAAAAGTTTGAGAAATTCATATATATCCAATAAATTATAAAACGTAACAATTATCCATATCACTAGCCTCATCTTTCCCTCCTCAGTCATCCCCTGTCAGTCCTCCCTTACCTTCCCTCCCTCCCTCGATGCCCACTCAGCTACCTCCGTCGCCGTCGACCCGCCGTGACCTACTAGAGGTTGATGGTGCTGGTGACGGAGACGGCGCTGCCGTCGGCATCCACCACCGAGATGTGCGCCGTGCCGCTGTCGTTGACGAAGCTGAACTCGGCACCGTACTCCTCCGGACCGCCCAGCACGCCGTCGGGTCGGATCCGTGCCCGCATCTCCTCCAGCGACGGCGCCGAGGTCATGTTTCGCACCAGCTGAGCGGAGAAGAGAGGCGAGGTTCAGAGAGGCTGGGGAAGGTGTGGGGCGAGAACGGATTTGAAATCGCAAAAAGCTCATGAGGCGAGGCGTGGGTGGGTAGCTGTTGAAAGCACTTTCAACGACAATGTTCCCAAAGTTTGCGGCGCCTACAGGCTACAGAGATGATGAATTGTGCTACTAAAGGACTATCGACGTCAAATATTTATTTATTTATTTATTTATTAAACTTCACGAGGCAAATCCATGAAACATGGCTATTCCTAGCCTCAGGTCAATTACATGCAATGGTTGGCCAATGGATGTCACACATACCTACATGAACCTCATACGCGGACACATGCATCACTAGTCACAATTTGTTCACAGTCATCACAGTCGCTATTTGTTCTGTTCCAAAGTGAGCCACTTGAACACCTCTCTTTTAAAAGCAGTGGGTTGCATATCACGCATTGAAGATGGTAGTTTGTTGAATGCAGTCACAATAGAGTATAAAAACCTTCGCCTACCCGACTCAGATAAAATGCGCGGTGTCACAAGTTGATCAGAATGCCGAGTAATGCGCCGATGAATGTCGCGTCTGGTGGTAAGACTATGAGAGAGCGACTCGGGTTCCGACGTACATCGAATCTTGTTAAGAAGGGTCAGTCCGTGGTAAAGGTACATGTTCTCAGCTGAGAGCCACTCATATTGCCGTAACACATCATTGATGTGGTCATACTTCCTCCGTCCAGAGATGACACGCGCGGCGAAGTTTAATATCTTTTGAATGCGGCCTAACTGCGTTTTGTTGGTGGACCCATAGACAATGATACAATAGCGCACAATCGACAAGACTAGACCTTCCACCAGCCGGGCCAGGGTCGACTGCGGCAGACAGTGCCGGGAGTGGCTGAGACCACACAGGATGCCGGTGCACCGGCGCACCACGTCATCGATATGGGCAGAAAACGTCAGCTTCTGGTCAAACAGTACACCCAGGTTCCGCACAGTGGGGGAACCGGCGACAATGGCACCCATGAAGTTGATACGGACGGGTGGAAGCCGCTGAATGTTATGCCTAGAGCCGATGACTATGAGCTGCGTTTTGTCTGCGTTCACTTTCAAACCATTTTTGCCAAACCAGTGAGACAGCTTGGAGAGAACACTCTCCATGGTGAGCACTAGGGAGTCAATGTCGCCGGGTCCCCCCGCAACAAGAACCTGAGTGTCATCAGCGTATTGCACTATTTCAGCCTCGCCGTCGACGTAAAGAGACAGGTCGTTTGCGTAAATTGAATATAAAAGCGGACCTAAGGCCGATCCCTGGTACGTGCCAACAGGGTTTGGAAGTGGTCGAGATAAGCACTGTGTTCCGTCTGACCTTTGGATGCGGACCTGTTGGTAATGATCGCTCAGATAGCTCGTAAACCATCGCACGTCCACACCGTACAAACGCAGCTTGTTAAGAAGGCGATCATGTGGGATAACATCAAAGCATTTTGACAAGTCAAGTAGTGATAAAAGAACAACATCGCCGCGATCCATCGCACTGAACACTTTGTCGGTAACAGTAAGAAGAGCGGTGTCTGTGGAGTGATTAGTTCTGAAACCGTGCTGACATGGTGCGAACAGGTGGCGCGAGGAGAAGTAGTAAAAAAGCTGCTCATACACAACACGTTCAGTGATCTTTGCGATGGTCGGTAAGATGGAGATAGGTCGGTAATTTGAAATGTCTGTTGATTTGGCTGACTTCTGAATAGGCTGCACGAACGTCAGTTTCCATGAGCTGGGGACACAGTTAGAGACGAGGCTAGTATTGACAATGTGCGTTAAAACATGACAAAGCGAGGACAGGCACAGCTTGACGAAGCGCACACACAGACCATCAGCACCACACGCCGTGCTACTGCGCATTCTGCCTACCACCCGCCGCAGGTCGTCTGGACATATGGGGGAAACGCTAAAAGCCCCAGTACCAACACGCGGCAGGCGGGTCGGCAGCTCCGGGCCGACAGCTGTCACCTGGCGAGCGGTCCTCGGACCAACCTCCACAAAGTACCGATTAAGTGCGTCCGCATCAGCATCAGGAACGGATCCACCACTCCGCTTTGGTCACACCTATCCGTGCTTCTATCCGCAGGAAACTGAAATCCTTCTCCTCCACGCCACAACCACCTTCCGGGCTGGACAGGCAACTTTATCTCATGCGGGCTGCTCCCTTGGAGCGGCACCGCTGCTCCCGAGGGAGCGCACCCCGTAGCCGGGTGCAGTGAGTGCCTTGGGGCTGGGTGGCCTGTCCTCTGGACGGGCTCAGCCCCGGCGACTCACTAGGGTGCCTGCCCAGACCAATGTCTCCCCCTAAATCCTATCATCCTTCCGGCTCTGCAATGGTCTTGTCGACCGAAAGGGCCTAACCCAACAAAACAAACAAATCCGCTTTGGTGCCACAACGGGCTGCACGCTTCGCCACATTGCAGCCGGTCCAGCCCGACGCACCCGCCTATCCAGCTCCTCCCGCGTGTCTCGCCGTACTGCGGACTGCACCTGGCGGTTCAGCTGCTTATAGGCGTCGCGGTGTCCGTCTCGGAGTGCCGCCCGTCTGTCGGGCGGCACAGTTATCGAACAGTTATCGAAATAACTGTCGATTATCTCGTTACTGAAACACTCCTACTGGTTCAGCCGTTTTGGCAAAGAATATACTCAATCAAGACAGCATTACCTATATGGCATATGTCGCTCAGACCAGCCAGACTGTATACTCCACAATCCCTTCTATGTAGGACACCTCACCTCCTCCACATCAGTGAACTCGGCGTCGCCCAGCCGACTGCGCATGGCGTAGGCGAACTTGAAGGCCTCGGTGATGTTGTGCAGCACCTGGGCCTGCGCCGAGTCGCTGGACATGCTGGCGTTGGTGATGGGGTAGCCGTCGAGGATGCCCAGGATGACGCCGAGGACGGCACCGCTGGCCGGCGGCGGCACCGAGAAGAGGGTGACGCCGCTCCTCGGCAGGGGCACCCGCACCGGCGCCGTCCACGTCGGTCTGAGGGTAACGGCCAGGTCATGGTGACGGCTGACGGCCAGTCATGGTAGGTGGAAGATAAAAAGTAGATGGCCTTTGATTATAACCAAGGGTTCCACTCATTGTGTCCCGAAACTTGATGTCACGAGTGTATGGAAGGACACGACAAATACCCAGTGACACGGCCCCATACACACGGGCATGTTAGCACATTCGATAAATATCAAGCTCCTAGACTCGTGACCTGACATTTGTTGTCGTACATACCACCCCACATGCGATCTCAGCCTCGCCTACCAGCCTGCCTCCACTCACACATAGTTTTTGATGTCGTCGTGGGTGACGATGCCGCCCATCTGCTGTATGTCCTCTGCCAGCTTCTGGCCGATGTCCTGGTAGGCCTGCAGGCCTCCCTCGGCTATCTTCTCCAGGGTGGCCGCCAGAGTCGGGTGACGCACCACGTCGCCGATGCTCAGCGACTCGTTGCCGTTTAAAAAGATGTCGCTGTGGTGCGGAGTGAGCGGAGGAGTGGAGTTATTCGGGGCGAAAGTGCAGTCGAGATCATGGCCCTGTTTCACGGCGGAGCGCTGCAGTACTTGGTTCCTTAGGACCCCTGTTCCAAACGCGATTCATCATAAGCTAACGGATCGCAAGCAACGTCATTCGAGTGACGTCAGGGGTACGCCTCAGCTCCCAACGCGCTGCAGCGCGCGCAGCGTCGTGCGGTGAAACAGGGCCCATATCCCAGACATGACCATGCTGTCAACTCACCCGGAAGGTAAGTACATTCTTAGGTGTTGTTTTTATCCGCTGGGACTGTGAGCGTGAGATGATGTTTTTCGTACTCCAGCGTAGATGGGTAGCCATACGGCTTCCACGGTTGACAGTGATGACATCAGTCATCTTTTGCAAACTCGTTAAAGATTTGGGCTGTACGAGGATTTTACACCGTAAAAACAATCGAATCATATCGTACCTTTATCAAATATCATTCGTCGGCAAAAGACGTTTAGAGTGTATGAAATGTATAAAGAATGTATAAAAATGTAGTATTGAATCGACTAGATACGCGTTTATCATGTAGCTCTCTGAATAGTCAACTTAGGTGTTCCTTCAAAGCCCACACTTCCAGCTTCCGTTCGTAATGGAACCTGCAGCTCTCAACGTGTTTCAGATTTCTATGGCGCGGCCCGCCCGGTCAGCTCCACGCCAACTATCGTCCCTCCATTCGGCGCTCACCCGAGATGGAAGCTCTCGTTGCGCAGCAGGCGTTGGATACGCTTATTGGTGAGCGCCTTGTGTACGGAGTGCGACACGGGAATGCCGTACCGACACAGGCTGATGGCCGGCTGAAAGAGCGTGCGCCAAGGCAGCCGGCCATAGCGCTGGTGCACCGCCCAGTAGCCGGGCACCTCCCCCGGCACCGCGATCGAACGACCGCCTGAGGGAAGACAAGCAGGTCAGGTCAGGTCAGGTCAAGTCAGGTTAGGTCAGGTCAGCGGTGCGAGAGAACAGGCCAAGGTCAGACACAGTGCCCAGAGCCAGACGCTATTGTATTGTATTGTATTGTATTGTATTGCAATGTATTGTATTGCATTGTATTGTATTGTATTGTATTGACCTCAAAAGCCTCCCACATATAGCCTGGTGACTACTGACGGTGGAATGACACGCACCCGCCGTACCGAAAGGTGCAGTGCACCCGTTTTTAGTTTGTTTTACTTTTCATACACCGCACGGCAAACCATCCACACCGTACGTGACGTCATTCTGCACAGCTTGCTCAATCAAATAGCGCATTGCTGCACCTGGGCTCACCGCACACATTCATGCAATCTATATATCTATGTTACAAAACATATGTATGCAATATGCATACAATACAATTACATATACACAGTCTAAATGTTTTCATCTGTCTAAGTGTGCAAAAAGTTGGCAGATTGGTGTTCGATTTCTGTCCGCTGGCGCTCTCTCTGTTAGTCCGATATTCCATTCATTCTTTTCATCGTTACTGCATCGTTAACATGTCGTAGGCCTTCGGTCCGTCGTCTCAGACTCTCAAGCATTCTGAAGAATTGCATGTCGTAGCCCATCCGCTGCCCTGTCCCTTTCCCCACTCACCGGTCTGCGCCTCGGCCGGTTCCTCATACATGTCGGCGTAGGCGGCGGCCGGGGCGCGCTCGCGGGCCACCAGCGTCTCCGCCATGCCCGTGGTGTGGTTGTAGAGTGTCAGCACGAAGCCCCCGCCGATGCCCATGCTGTGTGGGTTGACCACACCGTCACAGATGAGAGCAGTGATGGCGGCGTCCACCGCGTTGCCGCCCCGCTCCAGCATCGTCCTGTCGGAGCGGAAAAGGGATACGGGGTGTGGTGAGGAGGTGGGGGCTGATGAGCATGTGTCGCGATTGGGGCGAGAAGGACTTTTAATCTTTTTTTAAGCATAGCATGCACTAGGTACGCTCCAGTCCACTGATCAAACCCTCCATGAAAAAGTTGGGTTAAAAAGAGCCATTGAACTGAAAGACTGAAAAGTCGAGTTTTAAACAGCACATACCTACATATCTTTAACTTTTTTAAGTGCTAGAAAATTATGCATGTAGGTACCTAAATTTGCCCGTTTTATACTTAAATGCCACGCCCTCCTAACTTGATCGACGTATCCAATGAGTTATTTTGGCATTTTCGGATGTAATTATATTGACCTAGGATGACGGGTAGAAATGTCTATGCAAGCTCTGTAAACAACGCCTTTGAATCTTAAAACAAATTAAGCTGTCTGTATCTCCTTCAGCGACGGGGAAAGCCGATGCGCGTCCGGCAAACAGCGCATTCACACCATCATGCGGCCGCCCCTTCATTTCAGCCTCTTGAGTGGCTGCCGCTGGCACTGCCAAAGCAACAGTCATCGCGCATTGATGACGACACAGCTGCATCGTCAGGCGCGCTCAGTCGGCGGCCGGCAGCACAAGTGTCGGTGAAAACATTAGGAGTCAGGCGATGGGAGACAATGCTTTCAGAGTGTCAGGTTTCACAGTTGTGTGGTCACGCCGGGTCCATCGGAAATAAATAGCTGCACTTTAACAAATTCGTCGTATTCTAGGCTGCGTCTGGTTTGTTTGTTTGCTTATTGGGGCTTTAGGGCTCGCCGACTACAATGATCCTTTACGGCTATTAGGCTAAGTCTGATATTGTAGGCAAGAGTTCAGCCGGAGTTCTTTTTTTGTTACGCAAATGCATACAGCTTGCAATATCTTACCGCCTGGCGCCTACATTCTCGCATGTCGTAATTTCACGGAGTGATCCATACATTATGAACATTGCAGCTCTATGTAGTGAATGGGCGCTGACCTGCTAATACTGCAGCTCTAGTGACCAGGCGCGTTGAGCTGCCAATGCTGCAGCTCTAGTGACCGCTGACCGGTCGCTGACCTGCCAATGGAGGCGCAGAGGCCGGCGTCGGCGCAGACAGCCGCCGACCGGTACCGTCCCAGTTTGGACGGCGAGTGGGCAGCCGTGCCGCCATCTGTGAGTCTCTCCGGGGGCGGCTTCACCACTCCGTCTGCAACAGGGCACAGGCCACAGGTCACAGGTCACAGGTCAGAGTTACCATACATACGAGGAGCATATGTTACAGGTCACAGGTCATGCGTCATAACTCATAAGCTACATGTCACAGGTCACAGGTCATAGGTAACCGGTCACAGGTCACAGGTCGCCAGCCATTGGTCAGATATTACAGGGCAGGTCACATGACTAAGGAGACTCCTGGAAATTGGAATGTCACAATTTACAGATTACAGGTCACATACTTATAGGTATAGGAGACAGGCCGCAACTCAGAGCTGGAATACAGTTGAGTTAAATCTGCTAGTCGTCGGGACAGTAAACAAATTGCGGATCGAGAAACCGACAGCGGGGGAGGGAGGGGCATCAGGTGCATTACAGATAGGTACATATTCCTACCTGTTGTTATAAGACTAAATTCGAAATAAGTCACGGATGTGACCGAGGTTGCAATTCATAGTCGTTGCAGCGCAATTCAAAACGACTTTGTTGATGCAAGTTTAATTTTCGAGGGGAAAATGGCGAAACTTCATTAATTTCTATTATAAAACGCTGTAAGTGTAGAGCCCCAGCTATATCAAAATCGCCACTCTTATGTCTGGATCAGCCATTGAATGCTTAAAAAGTCGTTATACGCTTTTCACCGGAACGATATTTTTTTAGGAGAGACGTTTCTCATGCTGATATGAAGAATATAACAAAAAGGTGATTGTGGACGTAACTATTTGGCCCGATTTGCCGCAGCTATTATAGCCGTAGCTTTTTCAATTTTCATGCATGCCGCGATACATTTTTTTTTACTACGCAACAACAACAAAAATGAGACTCATCAGAAAGCTCGTTCAGTAGCTTTACTGTCAGTTCGGCAATCATTCCAGCCGTTCGCCAATGTTTGCCCACGCTCCGTCTACCGCCGTGCACCGTCATTCCAGGACTCGTATGCGTGGATGCGCTCCCGTCCGACCTCGCGGTGACCTTGGGACGGGCGGCGGGTACCTACCGATGCCCGCCAGGCCCGGCGCCGCTGCCCCCGGCACCGAACCGCGGTCCGCTACGCGAGCTCAGCGTGCCGCTACGCACCAGCACTGTCTTGGGCCCGGCTCGTTTTGACAGTTGCGGACCAGAAGCACCATGACAGAAATGTTATCGTAGGTACTAGGTGGTCCAGACATCTAGGCAAACCGGTTTCTGTATATCCTTGAGTGCAGTGCGAGGACCGTGCATGACTATTTAACCCTATTACTGATGTATGTGTGTGTGTGGGGGGGGGGCGAATCGGCCCCTACTTGTAGTATTTTATGTGGCATCATTTTACAATGAAAATAGTGGAATAGGCGGATACAGGTGGGGGTAATGTCAAGATACTCCCCCCGTCTTAGCGTGCCTGAATCCGCCTATGTTTAACAAAAATGTGTATGTTGTGCTCACATTGCATATTTTACATGATCGGTACCTACATGACACAATGTGTCAAACATCACGTGTGTTACGCCTATGTCATAACACACATGACATAGGACCTACAATGACAAAAACACAAAACATCATCCCAAGTTAGCTTACCTACATGAATCCGCCTATGATTTTTGAAAAAAAAAAACGGAATATATATGAAGGCCTAGTTCATGAAGAAGGGTCCCATAAAGTTTCATCAAAATCGGTCGAAACAGAAAGAAGTTATAGCTTTTTTAGTGACGAGGTGTGATTATTTTTGCCGTCGACCTTCGGGCTCGCGCAAAAAAATGTCAGGCAGACATCGGACTTGAAAAAAAAACTGTATACCGGCCCCAGGAAGTATTTTATATTACTTACGCCATAGATCTATATGTATAACTGGTATATAGAGGTCAATGCCTTTGCCTATGCCTACCTACTTCTCGTCTTTCCGGTGAGCTATCGCGTCGGGTCCTAATGTCGATACGAGCTCCGTCATGACGTTCTCTCCTTTAGGTAAACATTTTTCCGAACTACATATGTGCCTAAAGTGAAGGTTTGCCATGGCAATAATATTAAACGGGTGCTTTTAAAAATGGACGTTTACTTTTAAAAATAGATGTTTAAGTGGCACTTGAATACAAGTTCATTCATTTAGTTATTCATTCATTTCGGTGATCGATAAACCCAGCTCCCCACGCCGATAAGTTTACCTACGAATGATTTGATCTACCGAGAGCATAAAAAATGAATCGGTTAGTTGGTAGTAGATACTCACGGAATTTGACGCCCAGAATGATCAATGTGGCCAGACTGGCGAGTGCAGCAGCTGTAAAGATGACCGCTTTCACTTTGCTCGTCGTCTCTGTGATACTGTCGACAAATAAGGTATACATACGTGTGAGAACGCAGACGTTGACAGTTTTTGCGATTTGGCGCTTTTCTCAAATGACTCTGTAGCGATCGTAAAAAACGAAAGGCCAGTCGGTGCTCACAACCGAGGTGGAATTTTAATGAATATGTAGCTATGTTACAGGCAAAGTGAAAACCCGGGCATTTTGCAAAATGCCTAGGCAGTTTGCAAAATGCCTGACCCGCCAGTCATTTTGCAAAATGCCTAGGCAGTTTGCAAACTGCCTGACCCACCAGGCATTTTGCAAACTGCCTAGGCATTTTACAAAATGCCTGACCCGCCAGGCATTTTGCAAAATGCCTGAGTTTCCATATATTCCACCGTTTTTGTTGACTTCAGGCGTTGACCATAAACGTTCCACTGAGCCTGAGCCTGAGCCCAAATACAGGGGTGTCACGAATACAGGGTGTTACGAAATTGTTGCGGGATATTGTACTTGTGTCCCGAAATTGATTGCTCGTAGTTGCGTCAGTGTTCTCCAGCACCTCGCTGACAAGTTATCACCGGCCACGTGGTCTGTCCCTGCGGAACATGGTGAAGCTCAAAGAGGCCTATGTAGCCCATCATGCCCCAAACGAGAATCGTCAGTGGATGCTTCACTGTCTCGACGGTGCAGCGCCTCTGAGCTGCTGTTGGCCCAGAACTGTTTGTCGGGATGGTTAGTGACTTAGAAAAGCTCTAATATCGCCTCATCACTGAAAAAGTCTGAATCTCTAGTCCTGAATGGTCCAGATTTGGTGGGTCTTGGCGAAATCCAGCTGCATCTTTTCTGGATGACGGTATAAAGTCAGGGTTGCAGCCTGAGGTTTAGCGGCCTCAGCTTCATGGTAAGGTCTTCAGATACCGGGGGATGGCCGATTTAGATATCTGTAAGAATCTTGGATTTAGATGCCGAGCGCCCTGGTCCAGATGCCCTGGTGCTGAACCCGTTAAAATTACACCCATTCAGCACTTAGGAGGGACATGGAATGGACAACGTAACAGACCGTGCCAACCGCGCATCAGTTTCGTGATATCTGTAAACTACGTCTTGCGTCATTCCGTCGAGATGGAACTACCACTGAATGGACTTGAGCCACCGTCTCCGTACCTTTCGTATATACGGAGTTGACAGTTGTAGCCGTGTGTATAAAAGCTGCGATGTCCAGTAGCAGAATACTGGACCAGTATTCTGCTCTGGTGGGCTACTGTTCTGGCAGAGACGATTGAACGTGTAACGATCAAATTTTCGTAATTTGATAGAGTATTCTTTTGTGGTCAATATCCACCCACAGTATTTTCAAAAAGTCACCAAGGGCTCTTAGAAACAGCGCAATTATTGTACCGAGCGCATGTTTACCAACGGAACCACGCCCGGTGCTCGGCACCCGATGGCCGCTGGGGCTCAGTGATCTGAACTCGGCGGCGCTACCCGGAGAACGCAGTGTCTTCTCACTTGGTGCGCATTGACAGCGATTAACTTTTGTAAGCGCCAGTTAGAAATGATGCTTACCTATAGGGGAGAGTGGGGTGGGTTGTATCAGTTTTTACTCCGAGACCCATAACCTCGTAACTATCCGTGATAAACTCATAATTTCCATACCATCCCCTTCCTTGATTCTTCTGCTTTTTTGTGCAAAGTAACTTTTCCGCTACCTCTACCAGTTTTTCTTCTACGGTCTGCCGAATAGAACAATGTTTTTGATACAACTTGCCCCATGGCTTGGGTGAGTTGTATCACATGGTGGGGTAATCTGTATCACTATTTCACGTTTCAGGGAGTGTGCTTGCTACTGGTTTTGAACATAACAACAACATTAAATGGGGGTTAATACAATGTATAGGTATGCTCAAGGCTTCACTTTATTAGACCAAACTTAGGTCAATGCAATCTGAACGAAACATCAACAGACTAGACGCAAAAGTGGCCCGTTAAGAGCAAAGAAGCCAACACTTTGTGCCGAAATGGAACGAGCATTGACTAGCTACCTACAAACGCGAGCCAGGGCTTAGCTTTCGCGATCAAAAGCAGCATACCCATACATTCATACATACATACATGTTACAACATACCCCACCCGGCTCTGATACAACATGCACCTAGCCGCCATCTTGGAAAAAAACATCCTCGTGCTCAAAAAACAGCGGACAGCTGGAGAAATCAGTTTTCACTCACGCAGCCTTAGAACCTACCCTCACCACCGCTACGGAGATCTTTCAAATTCGTGCACATCTAAATGCCCAAAACACACATTTTCTTGCAACTTATTTTTTTAGAATGACATTAAAAAAACATAAAATCGGCTCTCACCTCGAGACGCGTCCACTCAGCCACAAGACAGAACAGGAAAAGATGGCGCCCGGAAAACCTCGTCGGCTGGTCGTGTCGCGAGCGCCATCCATTGGATAAGTTTGGCACAATTCGCCCTGATACAACTTGGACATGATACAACTCTCCCCGTTCTCCCCTACATCACCGCTGGTGCGAGTTTGATGTCAGGCATTTTGCAAAATGCCTGGGAAAATATTTCAGGCAGTTTGCAAAATGCCTGGTGGGTCAGGCAGTTTGCAAACTGCCTAGGCATTTTGCAAAATGCCTGGCCGGTCAGGCATTTTGCAAATTGCCTAGGCATTTTGCAAAATGCCCGAGTTTTCACTTTGCCTGTAACAGCTATATTTCATCGGACTCCTAGTGAGCTTGTGCTGAACTGACCCCCAACAGGTTGGCGTTAATCATTATCTTTTTCCGATGCAAAAGCAAAATTAAAGCTAATTTGACATCAATCAGCGTCAATAACAAGATATGTTGAAAGTTCCTGGAATTTTCTTAATTTTCGCGGCGTTCATTGCAAAGTTATGAGGGCATAAATGGCGAAGGGTGATTGGGCGTTATCACACTCCATGATTAGGCCAACGTTCTTCCAGATATCGGATAAAGCAGCCGCTGTCATCCCTCTGTTCTCTGAAGCATCCCGCTGTTTGGTGGCAAAGGTCGGGTCATAATCGTGTACTTCAAATGAAGACTGTTCATGCACTGTGACGTATACGTCAGAACTCACTATGTCACTATGACTATAATAGAGCTATCAGCAATCGATTCTTCATCATGAAAACACGCGGACCTATTGTGAATGCAGGCACACGCGAGGCTGAGGCGGTTAGAACGCTGGGAAGTGGGAACACATGTCTTCCCTGCCCAGTGCCTACTGACGATCCAAGGAGAGAACCATTTGGGTATTTGCGCCTCTCACAGCATCTGAAAATGCCGAAACTTTGTCTGTTTTCTCGTAAATACAACATAACACAAGCAAATTAAATTAAAGTGTTTAATTTAATTTATTTGAATTTAACAACTTAATTTTTTTAATCATAAAACGTCAGCTTGAAAAAGCATAGCAACGCGAACGATAGCGAATTAGATGAACTATTGGAAATCGTAGAAACCCTTTAGGGAGATAACCCTCGCTGCATTAAAAACTTTCAGGATCCGTATATGTGCCTATACCCGCCCCAGTACAGTTCCCACCTAACTCATGTGATTTTTTTTATCCTTTTCCCGGAACTGTAGAGGAGTAGCTCTGGGGACATTTAGACGAATCTGAAGAGATACGTGTGGTGCTGACTTTTTACCGTGGCCGGCCGTGTTACAAAAGACGTTCGACGCTGGCAGATATCGCTGGACTTTATAAAACGGTGACTTGCATAAGAAACTGATAAATTTGCACTATTGAAATGCTTATGTCTGATGACTTTCCCTGGTTTTATTCCACTTCGCTAGCGCTATAGCTGCTTTTGAGTTATGGGAAGGCGGGCATAGTTAGTTTTAAGCAAACCTATTGCGTGTTTGTATCAAGGATATGAAATGTGAAATGAAAAAAATGTTATAAGCAGTGCACACGTCCTTTCACGACGCAGTCCTAACGGTTGCACCGGATGGATATTTACTTTCGAAGTCCAGAGTTTCCCATCGCCGCTCAAGAGACATTTAATGAGAAACAAAATCGGAAAGCGCCATGCTTTCCCCCTTTGTCTGATTCCATGACCATTAGGCGATGGACACCATATCAGCCAATCCCATCAGCAAGATTAGTGAGTGAAGTGCATGCATATGTAATGATGAATAAACTTATACAAAGTAAAAAGAAACGTAGTCATGCAGCCCTGTAGGTTTCTTTCACGAGTAGGGCAAAGTGGGGGCTTTAAATTTGTAATATGTAGATAGGTGGGCATTAACTGGGCTATTTTATTGAAATGAACGGAAGGACCACCACTTGTCGGAGCTTCTATCACCAAACAGCTTACCTCCAAGATGTTCCGAAAAAGGTTAGCCCAAATAAGCTTTAAAAATTAGGTACTACCTTTATTCAGCTCGTTTGAGTCTTTTACGACTTTTTGACGATGTACGTACCTAATGAGAAGAAGGTGGACAAAGTTTTAGGTGCATCGGTCGTGTTTAGCAGCAATGGTGGGCGTCAAATATATCGTTCAATTTTTGCGCCAATTCAAGCCAAGTTAAAAACCACCGTGGTAAGCGTCCATATTTGACCCGTATGCGGACTCGCAAGCTGCATAAAAACATGTGGAAGGAAAACGCGTGTTCACAAATGCTGCATTGTTGATCGGGAATCGAATTCTCAGCCAAGCTTGTCAATAGCAAAGCCCATTACAAAAGGAAAGACTGAAGTAAAGCCATGACCAAACCGCACCAATAATGCACGCACGACTGCCTGAACAAATGTGGACAGCATTTCAAACACCTTATGCGCTGAAGAACAGTGAAGCACTGCTGCAAAGCCCAGCTGATGCATCGCTTTTTGTTTGCTCAGTTGCACTGAAGCATTCGGTGGGGGTCTATCAGCGGAAATACTGTTGGTTTTGTTTATTGGATTCTTCTTGCATGCGCACAATCACAGTTTTTCGTTTTTTGGCCGTTTTTTTTTAAATGCACTAGCGATAAGAATGAACCGATTTCGCTTAAAATTCCGCAATTCAGTTCTCAATGCCTTAGGATAGCACTGAGTGAAAATGAAGTGGATTTATTTTGAAGTACAGGCTATATTGAAGCTTTCATGGGCATTTTTTTCTTCAAGAAACCCTGTATTACTGTATTTAACCCCCGTGGAAGTACCTATACCTACCTAAAGCGCATACCGTTTGTAGCGCCGATATCGTTTGTAAGTACAACTGATCGCACAATGAAGATGTGTACTCACAAGCACATGCATACTTCGGTCTTGCTAATGAAACTCTGCATAACAGCACGGCTCTTATTTGTTTGAACAGCACGGTTCAAACAAATAAAGAGCACAATGAGCAGCTCATTTCATTATTCACCCTATCCGGCTGTCAAAAAACGTTAAACAAGTCGCTCAGAGTATAGTGGTAACACCTTTTATAGCCGAAACAACAACATGTCGTATAGAAAAGTCAAAAGTCAAAACACTGCATGACACATTTTATTGATGATGGAATGCACTGAGAACTGAGGATGATCGTCGGCTGATGCGATCCCAAACTTTACATTAATGTCTATTGCCTACAGGAGTCCAGTGTCTGGCTGGATGACCGTAGAACCACAATCAGCGAAAGCTGCTTACGTCACCACGTGCTTTCTTCAGCTGGTGCGTGCTCTTACCCCATGGAATACGTTATAAAGTAATACCCTTGGCCTGCCATAAAAATATTCTCGACAGCCAGCATTTAAGTTCGTACGTTTGTTTACCTTCATGTTGCGGCTCCCGTATGAACAAAGCTCAAGCAGCAGTTGAAAGCACAGGCTTATGGTGCAAAACGTCACGTTGGTATATGCTATTTTTGTTCGCTGACTGTCGGTCAAAAGGTCAACGAAAAACCGTCGCTTTACGGAACGCCATTGCAGGAATCAGCACGCGCGTCGGACGTGACCGGCCGTCCCTCACTGCCGTGACAATATCGACGCCACTGACATCAGGTGTACAGACTGATGCGTGCAACCCTCCCTGGTGACAGTCCCGTCCCGACCCCAGCACTCACGTTAGCATGGCTGCAGCTGTGCGGTGCGCCTGGCCGCGGCCCGGTCAGCAGTCGGCGGCGGCGGCTGACCGATTCGGCAGGCAGTCCGGGAGAGGGAGGAGAGAGCCGGTCGGCGGCCGCCGCGTCACTGGCCGCCGCACGGCGATGACGCCGCGCCGCGCCGCTACCTGCCGGCGCCGCCACCAGACGCGGCACCGGCCGCCGCCAGGGGCTGCAGCCCGGCCCGGCGGTGAGCGCCGCGCTGCGCGGCAGCCGCGTCAAGGACGGACTTCCCCCGAGTCACCGATTCAGCGAGTCCCACCGAGTCAGCGAGATTTACCGACTCACTGTCACTGGAATCTGCACAGACTCTCACCGAGTCTCACCTGAACACCAGTTCCCACAGTCTCCCACCCAGGTACAGCTCATCAAGTCTCACCCAAGACACCAATACTCGCAGTCTCTCCCCGAGGAGCCTATACAATACCGCTGAGTCACATCGAGTCTTACCAAGTCTCATATAAGCACCAACTTTCACCGAGTCTCACCTAAGTAACTCCAACAAGTCTCAACGAGTATCCGAGTCTTACTCTTACGTAACATAACATAACACTTACTCGCCGAGTCTTATTTTATCACCTTTCCATGCTTCTATCCTCAGGATACTGAAATCTTTCTCCTCCACGCCACAACCCCCCTCCGGGCTGGACAGGCAACTTTATCTCATGCGGGCTGCTGCCTTGGAGCGGCACCGCTGCTCCTGAGGGAGCGCACCCCGTATCCGGGTGCAGTGAGTGCCTCGGGGCTGGGTGGCCTGTCCTCTGGACGGGCTCAGCCCCGGCGACTCACTAGGGTGCCTGCCCAGACCAATGTCTCCCCCTAATTCCTATCATCCTTCCGGCTCTGCAATGGTCTTGTCGACCGAAAGGGCCTAACCCAACAAAACAAAACAAACAAACAAATCTTATTTTACCTTACACCTCTCTCCGAGTCTTACCTTTGTGATGGCAACGGGCAGCAGTGGCACCAAGCACCGTCCACTAGCTTGGTACCGATTGTTCTTCGATATTGTTGTCAGACGAACGCCGCAGTCTGCACAATCGTAGGTGCAACGGCTCAACTAGCCTACCGTCGGTCCCAAACAAGTGCCCGTGTGTGTCATGTGTGTATGTGCGCGTGTAATTTAATAACATGGAACTGTTGCATTATTTATAGTCACCGTGTGATGCATGACATTGGAGTGAGGAACACTGGTGGCCATTAGGGGAGGGAAGAGGTGTGTGAGTCACACGGGTCACACTCACGACCCGTCTTCAGGTCAGGTTGTAAATTGTACCTAATTGTTAGTAGATTGTATGAGATGATTACTAGACCATCGATTTCGGGCTTCGGAGTTTGGTCCACCTTTGAACCCTATAGCCGCAAAAGTGCTAGAACACAAACAATAGGCCAAAGGATGTTTCTCATGGTGATACCCTCTTCGGCATTTGAATTTCGCCCCTAATTGAACGATATCCTTACGAAAACAAGCTCACCCTGAAAAGTGTATTTTCGCCAATCGATTCACACAGTGTTCGAAATTGTTCAATTCGACATACATAACATGCACTTTCCGATCAATTTATTTTGGCCCTATGTTTATAACCCTCTTGGCTCTTGCATTACTTTTTCAGCGTTTTAGAAGTGCTGCCTGGTCAGCCAACTACTTAGTGATGGTCAGGCATCAGCTAAGTTTAGTTAGCACTTGCTGTCGATGGCGTATATGGACGGTTGACATTAGTGCAGGTTCTCGCGGCCGATGCACGAAAAGGTTGATCCAGTGGCGCCTGGCGTCGTTTCTTTACAGACGTCTGGCTTCAACGGCTTCAATGGCACCAGCTGGGGCTTCGGAAGACGGCACCTACCGTTGGTGCAGGCCATCCCGGTGCCACACTGGCCAAACATACCCCAGGAACCACCGCACCGCTCGCCGGCGTTGTTCCTGCAGACGAAGCAGCAGCCACAGGGTAGCTTCTGGCGTCCCAGCGGTGCGCACTGCGCCTCGGTGGCGTCCGTGCACGGCGGACTGTCCGGGTGAGAGCAGGGCAGGCAGCGCAGGCCGCAGACCGGAGGCACCACCATCACTGTCAACACCATCAGCAGCCACAGCGGCAGCAGCAGTGCCGAGCCGGGACGGGTCCAGTGCATGACGAATGGACGGACGGACGGACGGCCGGATGGACGGACGGACGGACGGTTCGGACGGCGACTGCCTGTGGTATGTGTAAGGGCCTGCAGTGCGCTGCTTTATTCAGAGCACTGACATACGGGTGACGTGTCCGTTTCAAAGAGTGACATGTTAGGTTTCAAAAGTCACGTGGGCAGCTCTAGCCGTATATCAGCGGCCGGAGTGGCTAAATGTGAGCTGTCAACCTTGAATTTCACTGACGTTCGCCATGGTGGACAGGGGTTAGCCCGTGCATGGCTGGGGGTCTGCCATTTGCCAAGTCACGGGGACGTAACGTTAACTAGTTATTTCATAGTTGGCCACGCCCTGCAAACTGACTGTCTATAAAACTTGAGTTCAAATGGCGCAGGATAGCAAACGATAGTTCACAGCGAATACTTTCATACGCCTACAGCCCACCGCTGAAGTAGTGTGATGTCAAATGTGTGGTTTTACCAATCTCAACGGATGGCTTTGACCGACGATTTTTAAATGCGGACTGATTGAAAAGAAGACGTCAATAGATAAAGTTGTAGCTGCAAGGGTGAAGATACATGTAAGCTACATTTAAAGTCTCGTTGCAGTCAGGCTAATCGTTCCTAGGCTTCAGAAGCAGAACATACCCATGACTGCAACCACACATTACTTCTGCTGTGGACTGCACCTATGCCAACACGATATTCTTGTTCTCATATCAATGCACTGGGTTCATTAAAAGACAGGTCAAATTGTCAAATTTCCGCTTTTGAACATTTTTGGACTACTCGGCACATAACTCGTGAGGTAATAAAGTTAGAGCGTTGCTGGCGAGAAACGCAATCGACAGTTTTTCTTTGTTGCAAATACAGTGTTTACCGACTTGGCTACGGGACTTGCATCATGCTTTCTATTCTCTAGTGTTTTCAATAATGTTTTTTTTTTCAAAAGTAGGCTTAAATTGAAGCTATCTTCATTTTCTAGCATTTTTATAAAAGGTGTTTTATCATCAAGCCTATGTTTATAATTTTATTGAATTTGAAATGTGAACGAAAACATGCTGCTGTCACCCTTTGTAATTAGTAGTCGCATACCTTGATTTCTTCCTCTTTTGTCACACAGGCGTCAATTTCGGTAATATTTCGTTTCACCGCGCAAAACTTATGAACGAAAATAAACAAAAGGCGGTCTCAAGACAATTTTATGAGTTGTCTCCCAATTTTTACAATTAATGCTCACCAACGTGTTTCACCAAAAATGCAAAATTTTCCAATTGATGATGTGAGTGCAACAGGTCTCCTACACAAGCTGTGCTCCAGAATAACTCGAAAGAAAGGAGGTAAGTTCAAGTTTTGATCGCGATTTCAATGTTAAATCACGAATTAACAATGAATTGAAACTTTGAAACATTCATTTTTGCTTGAACTTAACATAGCATACTGCTAGTAATTCTAAGTCGTTCACTGCTTTTGACATTTTTCTTTTGCTCTACACCTGTAGTAAGCTGAAGCAGGCTCTACTGGCTGGCTAAACATAGATCAGAATCATGAGACATGATTTGGATTGCAGTCTGTAGACTAGTTGAGTGTCCTTTATGTCTCCATCCTAGTCTGCTGTCTGGTTAGTTCATCTGTCCATTTCTGAAGCTTTCAGCCAACCTGCCTCACTGGAAGATTATTGCTGTCACAATGTGACAAACAGCTTATGCTACTGGTGTACCTATTTTTTGCAGATGATGTACTGCCCTTCTTCCACCGAGCTCTTCTGCAGCTCTCCAGTGCTGATGGAGTGGCCAAGAAGGAGTACAACATGTTCATCATTGGTGAGCAGATCAAGAAACTGCTCGCCAAAAATGGAAGAGAGCGAGATGCTGTGGCATTTGGTGATCTCTTCAGAAGACTTCAGCATAGTGTAAGTCATAGACCCCATTTTGTGTCATATTGGATACGAGCGCTGCTAGGATCAGGCTGCTTGCTAAATGCAACTGATTCCCCAGTGAACTCAGTATGACCCTATTTTGTAAGTTCTTAGTCCCCTCTCTGGCTGCTGCGAGTGCTGAACAGCCAGGTGTCTGTGCTGTGTTTTCTGTGTTGTGTTTCGTATGCTGTAAGTTCTGACCTCCCTTTGACTGCAGCGCGTGCTGAAGAGCCAGGCATCGGTGCTGTGTTTCCTGCTGCACCTCAGTCGGCTGGAGACGGACCATGCTGAGCCAGCTGTGTTCCAGCGCCTGACTCCCGTCACCTCCCTGCCAGCAGTGGTCAGTGGCCAACTCCTGTGGAACTGCTATATAGCAGAACAAACATATTGTTTGAACGATCTGTATCATAGGTTAACAATAGGCAGTTAAACTTGGAGAAAGTAGGTCCATGCCTGCACAATATGTATTTACACACTTGAAAATGAGGGTGTGTATAAGAAGCAAGATTATGGATTATTTGTGTCATTTTTTCTTGTCGCTACACTGTTGCTAGCTCATTTTTTTGTCATTATTCTCAATCTTGATTGTGATCGTGCATCTAATAGGTACCTATGTTGGAGTTTTGCGGTCTTTATTCATGACTTTGATTTGATCATCTGCAGTTATCACTCCCTCATTGAAAAGGTCCATTCAATCAGTCCATCGTTCCCCGCCCTACCTCCCGTGAGTGCTGACTCGCTCGCTCCATCGGCCGCAGGCGCGCTCAGCTCGGTCGGAGGCCCGACACACGTCCGCAGCCACCAGCGGGTTCGTCTCGTCATCTGACCTGACTTCGGCACCTTCACTGTTGCCTGTCGGCGACCAGAGCAAAGGTGATCCTTCTACCTACGTCCGGATCGGGCGAGAACAAAGGGACGGGCTGACAGTGTGATACATTTTGTGGAAAAGAACGGAGGGTGGTCACTGGTCATGTGGATCACGGTTTTGTTTATTTACAAATTCACAATAAATCAGAAATCCCAAATTGAAAAATCGAAGAAATAATTCGATGGAAACTGGAGCCTGGAATCGTTTTATTGCTATGTTGTGTGTGCTTTTACTTTTCCAGACACTTGTTCGCTTAAGTAACAATACGGGCTCGTATTTCATATCTACTCTAACCCTATCTTGTTTGTTCCGTGAACGTTTTGCTGGTACGTTCGGCGGATATAGCCGCAGTGCGGTGACACTACGCGCCTCCTATCAACAGGCGGAGCCACCCTTGCGGTGGGGAACGGGACCAGGGGCGGCGGCGGTCAGCCGGGTACCAACGGCCTGCCACACAAGCCCAAACCGCCGCTCTTCACCAGTGAGTGAACGGGGCGGGCGGAAATGGGGCTGTAATCTCAACCCAAACCGCCGCTCTTTACCAGTGAGTGAACGGGGCGGGCGGGAATGGGGCTGTAATCTCAACCCAAACCGCCGCTCTTTACCAGTGAGTGAACGGGGCGGGCGGGAATGGGGCTGTAATCTCAGCCCAAATCGCCGCTCTTTACCAGTGAGTGAACCGGCCGACCGCTGAGCGGGGTTTGGGTTGGGGGTGCTTTAACTGTTAACGGACATTATTATTTGTTTTCCCGGGTTTCGTGAATGGCTTGCGTGCTGGTCGTTTTCGTTCCGCGTGATCACGCCTCCCTCCTGACGCTTTGAACGCCGTTCGCCGCCAGCCCGCTGCGAGCTCTCGGAGACGGTGCTGCTGCGGGAGGTCCTGTATGCATTCCAGGGGGTCGAGGGCAAGTACCTCAAGTCAGACGCCAAGCGCGACCACATCTCCATCGACCCAAAGGTCAGGCGGTGGTCAAAGCCGGTACTAGTGGCTCTACTGGGAAAACTGTGCTCGTATATCTTCAGCGAGCCCATTTCAGAAACGTTTTTTTTTTCGTTTGTGCCAGGGCTGCGGAGTCGATGGATTTTAGGGTGACTCCGACTCCGACTCCGGCTTTAAAAATCGACTCCGACTCCGACTCCAGCTCCGACTCCGACTCCGGACGGATCTATAAAATCCATATCGTGATACTGAAGCTCATAATGGATATGTTTTATCTTGCCTGAAACGATCCTTTGTGCGTTCCAGGGCTTAACGTTGCAAATATGCATAAAAACAATATTCAGAATTAACAAGCAGGTTCTGGGGAATTCACCGTCTTCTGCTTCTTTCACTGAAAACGTTCGTCTAAAACAGCGAAGTGGTCATTTTTTTTCGACAAAATCTAATTTCGAGAGCAGTATCGTCAATTCAACAGGTGCAGTGCATGACGTGGAGCCATGCAGCGTTAACTCCGACTCCGGAGTCGGAGTCGGAGTCGGTAAGATTTTGGCGACTCCGACTCCGGGCAGAATTGTCGACTCCCACCGACTCCAACTCCGACTCCGACTCCGCAGCCCTGGTTTGTGCGGATTTTTAGGTGACTTGAAACACAAATCACGTAATGTATAGTTGCGTTGGAGTGTTTTTGTTGGAAACTCATTTACTTTCCGAGCTCATAACTTTAGTGCTGTCATAAATGCATTTCCCCTTCGTCGGCGCCGCTGACCCATTTTCGGTGCCAAAGGAGGCATTGCCACATCATAGTGCCCATGGTATAATTCGGAATGATTTACTTTTTCTTCTAAGTGCGTTTGCAATGCACCTCAACTTCAGTTGCAATTACAGCCGTCGTGCAGTGGTGAAAGCCGCAGATGCATCGCAGGAGTCTAATCACAACCGAAATGGACCCATAACAATAATTCTTACCGTTCAGTGTGCCGCTACTTCAATTATTGCCGAAACTTCAGGTGTATATTATGAACGTCGAAGCCACAATGGCTCAGGCTATCATTATTGCCGACCATCGGATGATATAGATCGTCACAAATTACGTAGCACTCTGGGAAATCATCACGATATTTAGGAATGCGAAGTTCATGACATGGCTTCAGAGACCCCGAAGCATATCTTCTTGATTGTTTTACAAGGTACAATCGTCTCTTTGACTGTGTTTTAACCCGGCACCGCCTGGGCTATTTCCGTACCCACGACAGCCTGGGGGGGGGGGGGGGGGTCGGATCCGACCCCCCCTGTTATCTCGAGAACCAATGGTCGCATCGAGCCCCGCGAGGCGGCGTTCGAAAGGTCTCTACGAGACCTTCCCAAAGCACTCTTAAGATTTTAAGATTGAGGTCAACTTTCGGGTCAAGGTCAGGTCAAAGGTCAAATTCTGGGGTTTTGCATGATTAGGCTTACGGACAGCGGAATCGATAGCTGCTGCTCGAAACTCACCAAAAATGACCTCAAAGGCCTAGTGAAGGTACCATGTGCGTATAGGGGTCATACTAAGTACGGGTCAAGGTCAGGTCAGGTCACGAAAGGTCACGGTTTTCACTTTCTGCTACATAGGCGTGCGACACATGTTTTATGGCTTATTTTTCACGCCGAATCCGATGGTAATGGTTATATGTGACCCCAAGTCACTGTGCTGGTGATAAATGTGCATTGAAAGCATAAAAAATTGTTTATACCATACGAGGGCTGAGAAAAAAGGTCAATTTTTCAACTTTTTATTTTTGACATAAAAATGCACTTTTCTAGACGAGCTTTGTCCCAGGAATCTAGTGGTGCCATTTGTTTTCACATGCGATGTTCAGAAGTGCCTCTAATTCACGAAAATGCTTATGACGTCACCATGCCCTATGCATGTTGGAGCTATTTTTTACAATTTGGGGGTCAAAAATCAAGATAGAAAGTTGAAATTTGGGACATCTAATGTTCTAATAGAGCTCTATAACATATATTCCGGTTTTTTGGAAATTCTCAAAATTTTGGATTTTATTAGCTGTTTTCCAAGAAATGTAATTTTTTGAATTTTTAGGGGTGAAAAACGCATTTTAAGGAAAATCCGAGATAGCCATTTTAAAGAACTCGTTGAGCTGCGTCTATACATGTCCTTAATTTGCAATTTGCTTCAAACCCTGATTTTTGGCGATTTTTTAAACATTTACCACTTTTTGACTAAAAACGCCGTGTAGTTACATCACTAAAATCGATATATCTCAAAATTTTTTGGAAATTTTTTCTTAAAAATTACATAGAAGACGTCAAATTGATGGGGGAGAAGGTATGCCAAGTTTCAAGTTGATAGCGTAAGCGGTTCTTGAGTTATTCAAGAAAAACGGAGGGGGGGGGGGGGGGTCGGATCCGACCCCCCAGGCGGTCGCGGGTTAAGCCATTTTAGAACTGGCTCTTCGCTGTTGTTTGCGCTACCCAGCATTGCAAGCCGTGCTACTGCGTACAATATATACAAAGAATAAGTAAAGATGCGGCGCGTTTGTTCGTACCGTTCGTGCCGTACCGTGCGGTGCGTTTGTTCGTATCTGTGTGTTCTGGCAGGTGACCATCACCCCCAGTGAGTACTATATCGTAATGTGTTCTGCAGGTGACGATCAGCCCCAGTGAGTACTATATCGTAATGTGTTCTGCAGGTGACCATCAGCCCGAGTGTTCGGTGCACGGTGCTCCGGCTGGTGGAGCTCGGCTGGCTCCACAGCCGCGTGCGCCTCTTCTGTCGCTCGGTAGCCGCTCGGCCCGACGCCGGCCTGCTCGCGCAGAGCCTGGCCTCTGTGCTCCGCGAGCAGCTCGAGCAGTTCTACCGGCTGATCGCGCTCATGGAGGCGCAGGTGAGAGGGGTGGGGTAGCCTGCTGCCGCTGGTTAGTCGGGGGGTGAGGTGGTGGGGTGGCCCGCTGTCGCAGGTAGTAGATGAGAAGAGTTGGGGTGACCCGCGTCCGCATGTTTGTCGGGAGCAGGAGGTGGGGTGGCTCGCTGCTGCTGCTGCTAGTTCGGGCCGGCGAAGTTCCATAACTATGGAGAGTTAAGTGTATTACACCGTGCTGCTACCGCCGCTGGCTGGCCGCTGGTGTCTTAGGGTCGAAATTGACTAAGCCCGTGCCAATCCATCTTTCACTATTGCTTGCCAGATATATTTGTCTCACTCTCAATATTGCTCATTGTTCAATGTTCACGTTCTTTCAGCGTTGTGAATTACAGGTTATGTGCACTACTATATCCTCATCTCTTTACAGGGGTTTATTTCTTTCATTCCCCCGTACCTACCCCGTCGTTTTCTATGGTTTGTCTCCTCTCCCACTCCGAGTGCTGACCTCCCCTCCCCCAGCTGAAGTGTCTGCTCTTCTCGCTGCCCCACCCCTCATACTGCCCTCCCCTCCCCGCTCCGCCCTCACCTGGGGTAGGTATCTGTTCTACTCCCTGCCCCACCCCGCATACTGACCTCCCCTCCCCTCCCCTCCGTCAGCTCTCTGGAGGGGAGATGGACGGCGAGCGTCTCACCCTCCGACGGCTGAACGTGTGGACGCTCGACCCCTTCTTCCAAATGCGCTTCTTGGCGTCGCTGACGGATGCGTGCGGCGGTGAGACGGGCGGCGCTCTGGCCTCGGTGCTACACCGGCACCTGAGTCACGGTGACCCGGCCCTGGTGGCTACTGTTCGACACCTGCTCAGCAAGGTAGGTGAAGGAGGGAACGCAGTCAGTAGGGGAAATATTGGGAGCGGAGTGGAATGGTAAAGGTAGACGCCGGAGGGGCACAGTACTAGTAGTATTAGTAAAGTAATCTTGCACAGTGGGGTCGGGAGATATGGGGACCATGAGTGCAGCAGATTGGTCTTAGTGAGAGTGGGAGGGGCACAGTCGAGTCAGGTAAATGGGAGCAGGAGGACTGGCATAGGTAGGAGTTTGAGGGGCACTGTTGTATGAAATATGGGGAGCAGGAGGGGAGACTGGCTTTGGAGTTGGAGTGGGCACAGAGTCAGATTGCGGAGTTCTACTCGTATAGCCTCGGTAAATACGGTGAACGGCAGCGGAGACTGGCTTCGGTAGGAGTTGAGCGGGCACAGTCAGTCAGGGAGATATGCTGACCGCTACTGGAGTCTGACCGAGCTGGGTGCTTGGGGTGCACAGTCCATTGGGGTAGAAAATTTGGGGCTCGTAATCGTTAGTGGAGGATGCAATGCAACATACTCTTGGACTATGGAGTAATTGCATACCTTGAGGGGCCGCCCCAGCAGGGGCTAGATGGCGCTGCTGTACCATGCTAGAGTACAACCACAGTACAACCTAGGGGGCGCTGTTTTCCATTGTGGGATCTGTCCATATGGCACATTGCGATTTTGGACAAAATCCGTTATTCACTGATTTTGCTCCGCTTAGATGGTTTCTTTGTTTTTTTTTTTAACGTACAGAGCGTTACGATTAGTCTGCGCACAGGGACAGCTTTATTTTAACTTGCAAATAGAATCATCTTTGAACTATCGAGTTGTCATCGAATACTGGCGAATAGCTGGTGATGTAAGTAACGGAACATAATTTTGTAAGTACCTAACGATAAACTATCATTTAATTAAATAATTGTTTTTCATGGCAATGATGTGGGTCGTTTTGCCGACACTCTGTATATCATGTTTGATTCTTTTTTTTTTTTTTGCCCAATACGGTTTTCTGTGTTGTACTGAAGTTGGGTGAAAGCCTGTAAGTGAGAATAACAATTTGGAGCAAAACTTTGCCCCCCCCTCATTTTTTTATACTAGCAAAACGTCCTCCGGGCCGGATTTGAACCAGCGACCTATGGATGCCTGACCTTATCCGCTACAGTCCACCGCTCTACCAACTGAGCTACCAGAGGGCCGGGTGGTGGCGTGCACTTGTTCCGTTAGACCGTGAAAGTAGGGCAAGGCTTGATGATGACTGGCTGAGTGAAAGCAATGTGCTCCACATCCTGATATTTCGATATCATCGTTCTGTCAGCCCGTCAACTTTCGTTCCTCTGGTAGCTCAGTTGGTAGAGCGGTGGACTGTAGGGGATTACATCAGACATCCATAGGTCGCTGGTTCAAATCCGGCCCGGAGGATTTTTGATTTTCTCGAGCTAAGTAGCGCATCGTAGACTTGTGGCATGTGACTTCCTTGTCTGCAGTGCCATACATAAGCACACTCGTATAAATGGCGTAAACGTGATTTTCTAGGGCTGACTACATTTAGAAGGATCGTTACGTCGACCTGTATTATCATGCCTGTCGGACAAAATAGAGAAGTACGATGCTCCGTAGTGGTGGGCAGGGCTGCGGAGTCGATGGATTTTAGGGTGACTCCGACTCCGACTCCGACTCCGACTCCGACTCCGACTTCAAAAATCGACTCCGACTCCGACTCCAACTCCGACTCCGACTCCGACTCCGACTCCGGAAGGTTCTATTAAAATCCATATCATGATATTGAAGTTCATAACGGAGATGTTTTTATCTTGCCTGAAACCATCCCTTGTGCGTTTCAAGGCTATGCGTTGCAATTATGCATTAAAAATAGCTTGCAGAACTAAGAAGCAGGCTCTGTGGACTTCACCGTCTTCTGCTTCTGTCGCTGAAAACGTTCGTCCAAAACGGCAAAATGGCTTTTTTCGACAAAATCTAATTTCGAGCGCAGTATCGTCAATCAAACAGGTGCTCAACGCCAAATCAAATTGACGTTGAGCCATGCAGCGTTAACTTCGACTCCGGAGTCGGAGTCGGTAAGATTTTGGCGACTCTGACTCCGACTCCGACTCCGGGCAGAACTGTCGACTCCGACCGACTCCAACTCCGACTCCGACTCCGACTCCGCAGCCCTGGTGGTGGGCCTAGGGGCGTGAGCGGAGCGCGTTTGTCGGCATTTTTTTTTTTTTTTTGCTCGGCCAGCCTAGTGCCAGTCTCGAGCGGTGGGACAGTTAACCCGGCAATTTTGGCCGGGATGCAAAAGTTACGTTAAACCGGTTTATGTTAACCCGGGAGCAAATAACGTGGGAGCCTATCTTAGGTGTGGCAAAGCTAACGGGAGTACTTACTTGTTGCCGAAGTGCCGAAAGAAGGTGCTGGAACCGAAAACACAGCATTGGTTCATGTATTTATTAACATTCATACACACAGTCATACTTGTGCAAGGTGTCAGTGTTCGGTTGTGGGGTGTAATAGCCAGGGAAAAAGTTCTATGAACTGAAAAACCCGGCGCCTATTGCAAAGGGAAAAACCCCGCGCTGAAGCCAAAATAGCGCGGGGAAAAAACCCTGTATCGTTTAAGCTAATGTGTAGGAGGGTGACGAAGAGGGACAGGGAGGTGACTCCGCGCGGGAAAGGGCACCCGGAGGCCAGGCAGTAAAAGCTAAGCCCCCAGTCGGTGTTGACGCTCAACGATCTCGGCCCAATCGACCTGATCGGAGCGTGCAATATGGAGTCACCTTAAGCAAGAATGGAAAATCAATCACAAGCACATACAATCAACGAAGAAATAAACCGAGGCGCAGCGGAGAGAAAACGGCGTAGATGAATGTCAGAGAGGAGGAAGTTTCTGGCACTAGGCCAGGCCGGGGGGTTAAAGTTCGTGGAGAAGTCGCGCGTCCTTGAGGAATGCGAAAAGTTTTTCGAGGAGAAGTGGGTGGTCATCTCCCAAGAGAGTGGGGAGATCCAGGTTGAGGCCATGTGAAGTAATGTATTGAGTTATGTGACGCCGGTGATGGTGGAGGTGTGGGCAGTGTAGTAGTATGTGTTGTATGGTGTAACATGTGTGTGGGGTGCAGTGTGGGCATGTTGGTGGGGGTGCTCGGAGAATTAGAAACCGGTGTGTAAGTTGTGTATGTCCAAGCCTCAACCTGGCGAGGACTCTTTCTTTTATTCTCGAATCTTGAAACGACGTGTAAGCCGCTGTTTGTGATGCTCAGTCAGTGGATGTTTGTGTTTGTGTTTGTTTCACATACGTGTGAGCCGCTGTATGTGATGCTCAGTCAGTATGTTTGTTTCACAGACATGTGAGCCGCTGTTTGTGATGCTCAGTCTGTGTGCTTGTATGTTTGTTTTGCAGACGTGTGAGCCGCTGTATGTGATGCTCAGTCAGTATGTTTGTTTCACAGACACGTGAGCCGTTGTTTGTGATGCTCAGTCACTGTGTATTTGTTTGTATGTTTGTTGACAGGCGTGTGACCCGCTCTTTGTGATGCTCAGTCAGTGTGTTTGTTTGTTGACAGACGTGTAAGCCGCTGTTTGTGATGCTCAGTCAGTAGATGTTTGTGTTTGTTTTACTGATATGTGAGCCGCTGTTTGTGATGCTCAGTTTGTGTTTGTTTCACAGACATGTGAGCCGCTGTTTGTGATGCTCAGTCTCTGTTTGTTGACAGACGTGTGAGCCGCTGTTTGTGATGCTCAGTCAGTGGATGTTTGTGTTTGTTTGACAGACGTGTGAGCCGCTGTTTGTGATGCTCAGTCAGTGAATGTTTGTGTTTGTTTGACAGACGTGAGGCGAGCCGCTGTTTGTGATGCTCAGCCAGTGTGTTTGTATGTTTGTTTCACAGACGTGTGAGCTGCTGTTTGTGATGCTCAGTCAGTGGATGTTTGTTTGTTTCACAGACGTGTGAGCCGCTGTTTGTGATGCTCAGTCAGTAGATGTTTGTGTTTGTTTGACAGACGTGTGAGCCGCTGTTTGTGATGCTCAGTCAGTATGTTTGTTTTACAGACGTGTGAGCCGCTGTTTGTGATGCTCAGTCAGTGGATGTTTCACAGACGTGTGAGCCGCTGTTTGTGATGCTCAGTCAGTGGATGTTTGTTTGTTTCACAGACGTGTGAGCCGCTGTTTGTGATGCTCAGTCAGTGGATGTTTGACGGTGAGCTGGAGGACCGGCACAGTGAGCTGTTTATTGCCGCCGATCCGTCCGTCACAGACGACCGGCTCTGGCACGACAAGTACCAACTCAGGTGGGTCAATCGGGGTGCAAATGTCCATCTAAGTGGGGGAATCGGGTGCAAGTTTGGGTGCAAGTACCAGGCACCAGCCCAATTGAGTGAGTGTACGATTACCATCGACTCTGAGGCGAAAACTGAACCTGGCCAATGATTTGCTGGTGAACTCGTGTGATTTTATGGACTCACAGCTGTGTAGAAGAGAGGGCGGGTCATTTTACAATGTTCAGCTATAATTCGCTCGGTGGATTTGTGCGGCTGAATACGCTCGCGTACAGCAAGCTGTGGTAGGTGCTCATTTTTATCAAATACATGCGTGCTGTGGCAGTTTCGCACGCGCCTTTTTCGTGATACGATCGTTTCTGATGACTGACATGCCAGCTAACACCACCATTCGCCCGTCTGTGTGCTCTTTTCCCACACAGGGACTCTCAGATCCCCAGTTTTTTGACGGTGGAACAGGCCCGTCAGATACTGGCCACCGGGAAGAGTATCAACTTTCTGCGCCAGGTGTGCAGGGACGACAGCGGCATCCGCGGCATCGAGTCCCTCCGCGCCACCTTCGACGCCATCAACGGTTAGTGAGCCGCTGCAGTTCGGGCTTCACAGTTCACTCAGTGACGACAGATAATTGTCGTGGTTTCGTTAGAGCGGGTATTATTTGTAAGCGAGGAAGCGTAAGCTGTAATCGCGATTCGCGAGCTCTATTTCTGAGTGAGGTGCCTCCTTTCATCTCGCTCGGGTGCCAATGACCAACGATCTTATGCCTGCGCATTGTCTGCGTTTTGTTCACAAGGTGATTATTTTCCACATTCCACATTCAATTTTCATTTTGTCAAATGTCCATCATCTTCCCCGTTCGTGCGTCTGTCCAGTGTAGGCACTGTTGACTGTACCGTACCCCGTCTGTCTGTATCCGTCCAGTGGAGGCGCTGTACCAGGAGGATGGTACCGGCAAGCTCAGTTTGTCTGTGTTTCTTTGTCCAGTGGAGGCGTCAGTACCCTGTCTGTCCGTCTTTGTCTGCCCAGTGTAGGCACTGTACCGTACCCCGTCTGTCTGTATCTGTCCAGTGGAGGCGCTGTACCATTGTCTGTCTGTATCCGTCCAGTGGAGGCACTGTACCAGGAGGGCGGTACCGGGGCTCAGTACCCCCGTCTGTCTGTGCTTATCTGTCCAGTGGGTACTGTCAGTACCCTGTCTGTCTGTTCTGTTTTATCCAGTGGAGGCGCTGTACCAGGAGGGCGGTACTGGCGAGCTCAGTACAGGGGACAGGGGGTCTATCTGTGCTTATCTGTCCAGTGTAGGCGCTGTACAGTACCCTGTCTTTCTGTCTGTATCCGTCCAGTGGAGGCGCTGTACCAGGAGGGCGGTACCGGCGAGCTCAGTACCACCATCACCTCGGTGTACCGCGAGACGGCCCGGCATGTGCTGGACACCATGTGTCAGAAGTACCAGTTCCTGGAGAACCTGCAGGCCATCCGGCGCTACCTGCTGCTCGGCCAGGGCGACTTCATCCGCCACCTGCTCGAGCTCATTGAGTGAGTCGACCGTACCGTACCGTATGTATTTCATGAGCTCTGAGGCTTGAGCGAATAGAGCAAGTATGTGGACGATAAATTCGGGAACGCTCGCTAAAGCTCGCGAGTACGTTGCTGGGAAATGATATACTTTTTATGACGTGAGCTGTGAATGGTGACTATACCTCAGACAATAATAAGTACCTAATAAGTAGTGTTTGATGCATTCAGAGTAAATCTACCTGAAAGCTTACTCTATTTTGGACTCGTAGCAAGACGTAACTCAGTCCCCTGCTAGCTAGCTCCAACCTTCCGCCGGCTAACTCGGACTCTCCCCGCTCTCAGACCTGAGCTGTGCAAGCCGGCCACGACGCTGTACCCGCACAACCTGAACGGTATCCTGGAGTCTGCGATCCGCGCCACAAACGCTCAGTACGAGGAGGCGGACGTGCTGAAGCGGTTGGATGTGATGCTGCTGAGCGTGTCACCCGGGGACACGGGATGGGACGTGTTCAGCCTCGACTACCACACGGACGGACCCATCCGCACGGTGAGACGGCAGGTGTTATAGAGCGGGGGCGAGATGGGAGGGGTGCTGGAGGGCGCAAATACGAGTTTTATATGTGGGTAAGTGAATTCAGTGAGGTGTGTATTGGTGTGCGTTTTTTGTTTTGAGTTTTGTTTTGTGTGTTTGTGACTTGTGTTATCGTTTTGCGATGCTATCCCGGTTATAAGTTTTTTAACCTTGATATAATACGTGTTGACAATATTGGTCACTGTTGTTCCTTAGATCTTGGTTTTACCTTTCTACATTCTTTTGAAGCAATGTTGATTTGTAGAAAACAATTTTACGGCATACCGCTTGAAACCATCACAATTTCAGCGTTGTATCTAAAACTGCTGAATGTCATATTCACTGCCTCTTTTCAGTCACTGAACTGCGTGTTTGTGTTTTCGGCAGATTTTCACGCCCCACTGCATGACCAACTACCTGATGCTGTTCAACGCGCTGTGGCGGGCCAAGCGGATGGAGTTTGTACTGTCCGGCGTGTGGAAACGACAGACGCTGCTCGCCAAAATGACCAGAAGTGAGCTGTGGCGAATAATGTGGGAAAGGGGACTTCGGTCCGGTAGGGCTGTAGTATAGCTTAGGACTTGGCGACAAGAGAGGATCAGTATCACGACATATTGGAGGCTCGACGAATGTTTTCACTTGTTAGGTTTTTAATAAATGTTTCAATAAACATTTGCAAGGCCCTGAGTTACTTTCAGCGACATGACTATGAGCGAATGTGCCGCTCAGCATGGATATCGTTAAGTGCTTGTTTTCCTGCTGGTGCCTAGTTATCCCCCGCACCATCGTCATAGACTACTACGGAGGCCGTAGTGCGAGTGTTCATTATGAGTGAGCGCCCCGCCCCGTCCTACCGCCAGGTCTGACGGAGACCAGTGTGGTGCTGCACCTGTGTGACGTGCTGACCTCACAGATGGTCCACTTCATCCACCAGCTGGCCTACTACATCACATTCGAGGTGAGGACCCCGCTGGAGTCCGGTGGGTGGCCGCAACCTAGTTCAGCTAGCTAACCATGTAGGATACCATTTATCTAGCCACCCGGTCAGGACGGCCAGAATGTAATCCGGTCAAATTCAGAACTTCATTTCGGAAATTCAGAGATGTCAGATCTTACAATTTGATCGTCGCATCCAAGCTAGTGGCATGTGCCCTTGTAGTGGAACGTCTTTAACACGAACCAGTGAGTACCATGAGCCACGGACCAGTCTTTTGTCGGGAGGTGACCAGATAACCCGTTTGGAATCCCCTCTTCTCGAACGATTCTCCACATCTCACCACCGCCCACTCCTCCCTCATTCTTTTTTCCCCATCGACCGTCCCCCCAGTTGGTGGACCTCTCGCAGTCCATCCACCTCTGCCGGCTGACCTCCCCCCTCCCCTCCTCCACAGGTGATGGAGTGCTCGTGGGCGGACCTGACCACCAAGGTGAAGCGCGCCGCCAGTCTGGACGAGGTGATCGGAGCGCACACCGAGTTCCTCAGCACCATCATGTCGCGGGCGCTCATGGACGACCGGTCACAGGTCAGTGGGAGGGGTAGTGGGGTAACGGGGTAGCAGAGACTGCGGTGGGCGGCGTCTGGGGACCACTGTCCAATGGTATTGGGAAGTATGTTGTGGTGCTGTCATGGGAATGATGGCATAATAGTTACTGTGGTAGGATAAGCTGGTGTTTTGTGGTGCCGATTTTCATTTTGGGAGCTGTTTTTATCAGTTTCCTGATCACTAAATGCTTTCTTCTCAGAAACAGCCGATCGACTGCCTTAGGTTTCGAAACGCTCGTTCCAGCTAAGTGTTTGCCGAAAGCGTATAGATAGATCAACCCCGTGTCATGCGTGAAGTGAACCTACTGCCATAAGAATGCTGTGTATTGCCATCTCGAGCAGCCCCACTGACTTACTCATGTTGCAGGACATGCTGCACCAGCTGCGGGTCATCTACGACCTGATCCTGCAGTTCCAGATCCTGCAGGAGCGGCTGTTTAACCGGGTGGAGGAGGAGCTGACGCGCCGCGCCCAGTACGCCGCGCAGGTACGCGGGTGTACACTGTAAATTGTTTACAGACTGACATCTTCATTTGAAGGCGGGGACTCGGGGGTCGACGTGAGCTAGTGTGAGCTCAGGCAGGCCACTCAGCGGTGCTCTAGTCATTCACTTGATATTTCATCATCCGATTCAAGCTGCTTGTTTTACAAGCACTTCTTAAGCCATTCGTTAAATCCAGAAAGGTTTCGAATACGCATCACAGTGTGCAACTTGCTGCTGTCAATTTGTTCATTTTCATTTTCAATCTTCATTTGACCACTACCGCCTATGTCTGTCCCATCGTCAGATCTCCGCGCGGACCAAGGCCGGCCAGTACGGGGCGACCTCTGCTGACGAGGCGGCTGAGACGGAGCGACGCAGGGAGTTCTGCAAGGCGTTCCTGCCGGCCACCAAGGCGCAGCTGCAGAACCTGACACAGGGCTATCAGGTGAGGCGGGAGGACACACGCTGAGGGCGCGCTGAGCGATATAGTGACGGTACTGTAGGCTGGTTGAGGACAAGAGGTACGGTGGTCTGCAAACAGCGTACCGAAATGTAATTTTCCTGTCTTTAGTCGGTCTTTCACACCGTCAGTGTTTTAATAATCGTAATAATTTCTTTTCATTAGTTGCTACTCACGTATTGTGCCCATGACGCATGTAATAGTTGAGAAATTTAACGTTCGCCATACCCATCTATTGGCTCCTCTCACTCAAAACTGTTAGCAATTCCCTGATGTAAACAAATGGAGCATCTCAGCTGCTGCGTGGTCTGACATCTATCCCTCCGCCCGACAGAACATGGTGCTCGGCTTCCTGATGATGCTGTCCTCTCAGGAGGACCTGAGCCTGCAGTACCTGAGCTTCCGTCTCGACTTCAACGAGCACTACCGCAGCAAAGACTCGCGTCTGTCACTGCCACTCACTTACCACCATCGGCGTATGAGCGGCATCGGAGTACGACTCTAGGTTAGACCGTGAGCGGTGGGCTCCCTGTGGAAGGGGACGAGCTGATTGAGGGGTCGGAATGTGGGAAGGGATGTCGCGATGGCGAAGATGGAGCATCATGTGCTTGGAGATTCGTCAGGTCACACAGGCTGGTCTCTGTGACAAGATTTTCTCGCTGCAGCCGACCTATGGTATGTTGGTAGGAAGTCTCAAGACAGCCACCTTTTAGCCATGTTCGTTATAACCTAGTGAGCGCTCAGCAGTGTTCAAGGTTGGAGACGGTCGCAGTGGACGTGTAAATCCATCGACAATTTACCGCCGTACTGCCATAGTTTCAGCCTTCAGCCAGCCATAGCTTCAGCCTTAGTCGCGAGCGCTGCCTGGTACAGCGCGTCGCGCGGCACGCAGCTAGCCATGACTTGTTACAAAGCTTTCGGGCGGCGCCTGTGTAGGAGGCGTGAGCCACGCGTCGTCACGTGACGGCGATGCTGGTGGCAGATGTGTCTGCCCTGTTCGGAGGTGAGCGGTCCAGCTAACGCTAACACCGACTGACGTATAATGTAGCGCGCTGTCGCGTATTTGTGAGATCGGTCGACCTGCCGGGTGTCTCCGGCGGGCCGGCTGGAGCCAGTCATTCCCTGTTCGCAGCTCTGTCGGCTCGAGCTCTGTAGTCTGAGAGGGCCCACAAGGGCGCGGAGTTGAGTTGACGTGTCTGAGTTAGCCGTGTCTGGTGTCGTGAGCTGGACAGTAGCAGCCGCAGAGTGTGAGTTAGCCGAGAGTTGAGTATGAGTTAGCTGAGAGTTGAGTGCGAGGTAGCTGAGAGTTGAGTGCGAGGTAGCTGAGAGTTAAGTATGAGCTAGCTGAGGGATGGGTGTGAATTTGCTTGAGTTCGGGCTATTGTCCGAACGACGTCAAGTGTCATGTAATCGCCATGCTCGTGGGGTGGGTCGGTACAAGGCATTAACCCGCTCGCTCATTGTCTTCACATGTGACTGTGACTATGCCATCCATTGTGACTAGAGGCCAAATATAACACAATCAACTACTCACTAGCAAGCTGTGTGCGCCGACGGGAGATGAAACAATTTGGATTTGTCAGGTGAAGAAGGAATGGTTTGTTTTGAGGTTTCCTGCGTGACACACATGCTCTATTTACCGTGTCGGGCAAATGTCCTCTCCATTTGTTGGCGAAATGTGCTTCCGCACATAATTCAACCAGCTGTCAGCTAGCTACTGCTGATGAAATCGCCCGCTATCAAGTCTAATTCTGGCATTTTCTTTGGGAATGAATGGGGTCTGATGTAAATGTGGACCACACGGCCGGCGCTGCGGCAGCGGCTCGCTGTCACCGCCCGCGAGCTCCCCTCGCCACTGTCACCTCTCACAGCTACTTCCCGTGATGTGCACGGCGATAAAACGTCACCTCGCTGACAGACCGGCGACGGACGTCATCGGGCCGTGCACAGTCATCGTGTGCGTCACCGCCGTCATCCGTCGGGCCGCGTCACCGGCCGCCGGCGGCAGTCATGGATGGCGTGTGTGACCTGGTTCCTCGACACCGCGGCGTCTCGGGTGTCCTAGGTGGGGCTGGTTGGCGGCGGCGGGGGTGGCGGAGACCCTGACCGTCGTCTGCACCGCCCACCGCTCACCGCCCACCGCCCACAACCCTCCTCCCGCCGCCCGTCGGCACACTCCCGCTGAGAGTTGGAGAGCCGGGGTGGCCCTGACCCAGGCCTCGGCGGTGCTGGAGCTGCTTCCGAGCGCTGTCAGACCCTCCTCGTCCCTGGGGAGGCGGCTCGGGCCGGCCCTGACCCTCACCGGGTCTCAGGGACGCGCCAGAGACACCTGATGAAGACGTGTCCCAGTTCGGGCGCGGAATTTATTGGATTCTAACGAGTTGTCGTCGGTGGCTAACAGCGTTACCGGCGGGTGACAGGAGTGGGACAAAAACTCTCCCCGGCCGGCAGGCTGAACAAATGTCGGTGATAGCGGTGGACGGGGCTGTGAGACCAATGTAGACTACCAAATATCTACACGATGCTCACAACACGTCTCTAGTTTTGCAAATGCTGCAAGTTATGCAAACACTTCTGTGAGACCGTGTTACTATATCTAGCAATTATCGAATTTCGACAGGCATATGCCCTCTTGGCCTGAGGACTTTGAAAATTAAAACCCTCGCCCCTGGTGGGTTGGAGGGAGGGGGGGGGGGGCAACGGCCCCGTGGGGCCGTACCCCATTATTCTTTTCCGTTAGAGATCTTCTAAACTACTGCAGATATCGTCATTAAACTTTCAGGACCGCGGACATCATTTTTTCACATTGTGGCCATTTTTTCCAAAGGCTATGATCGGTTGGCTAAAAAGACGTCAGACTGACGTCATGTTTGCCAATTTCGACCCCCCAAAAAAGTTTCGCGGGAAGAGCTGTCAGAGGCCTACCTTCAGTTTTGAACATGCAGAAAAATGTTCTTGACCTTAACCCTCGCCCTGGCAGGGGGGGGGGGTCGATGCGACCCCCCCCTAAAGGTTTTTCGAAGATAGCGTAAAAACGGCGGCGCGCAGCGCCGCCAAATTTGGCACAGCCTATGGGGCAACCTTTTTACATATGACCTGAAAATTTCAGGTCCGGGTGACCTTGGGTCAGGTCACCAGGTCAGAAAAACCGGTACAAGGTCATGGTCAAATTTCAATTTTCTTTTTGCACCTCCCCAACTCACAGTTTTCGACTGATTTCCTTCAAACTTTCAGGATGTGCTAAGTTCACCGAGTTGTATAACATATAGTCCGGCTTTTTTGAGGTCACTGACCTGAGGTCAGTTAGAGGTCATTACGTCGTAATGTTAAGCCTATGGGAAAATACTAAATTCGGAAAATACTGGAGATATCCGCTTCGTTCTATCACTTTTGTGCTTTGAAACCACGGTACTTAACAGCAGGTCACTTGGTGCTTCTTTGTTTGGTGTACTTATCCATGGGTCAGGACCAGGTCAAATGAGGTCAACTGAGGTCAAATGACGTTTTTGCCAATAACTTGGCACATAATGACGCTAGAGCTTAAAAATGGTACCATTGTGTTCCTGGTGATCAGCGGAATCGAATGATATGCGATATGATGCAATTTGGTTAACTTTAACTTAATTTGTTAATTTAAGTTTACCTACTTAAAATTTAAGAAAAACTTTAAGTACACTTAAGCAAGCTAAAAAGTATATCATTCGACGCGCCTTGACGTGCTGAGCTCACTGGTGCTTTTCTTTTTTCTCTATCTTTATTAGATCAAAAGTTATATGCGAAAAACTTTCGACCTGTTTTTAGCGAAATTTTTACATTTATACCCCCCAAAACCCCCCTAAATATTGACCTAGAGCAACCAAATTTGCACAGGGGCGAGAACTCCAGGGGGCCCACCTACCTACCAAATTTGGTGTTTCTAGGTGCCATAGGAGCCAATCGCGAGGGGGGGTCGCATCGACCCCCCCCCTGCCAGGCCGTGTTATGAAAAATGCCCTGCCAGGGCGAGGGTTAAAGATGTAGGTACAATTACCACTTACCAGAGCTATGAAACAGCTATCTCGGATTTTTGAATTTTTCGATTTTGACCCCCAAAAATAAAAAAGTATTTTTATATAACACCTAAAAAATCCCAAAACTTTCGGAGTTTCAAAAGTGGAATATATGTTATACCTAGGGGAAAGTGGGGTAAGACGGGCACCTTAACTTTGGAGCCATTTTTCGGCCGGTTAGAAACATCATAGAAACGGGAAACTGAGTGAACACCTTTTTTAGACATTTTACTTCCATTTGCCAGAAGATGAGACTTAGACCTGATTCAACAAATAAACTGCAGCTATTTTTGCAAACCTTGCAAAAACCCGTCTTACCCCACCCCATGGGGTAAGACGGTCACATGGGTAGGGCAAGACGGCCAGCTTCTTTCACCGACCAGCACAGCTCGCAACAAATGCCTGAGATTAGCCGCATTGATACAGTCGCTCGTCGGTCTCAAGTGCTTCGGAAATGGCAGCATACGAGATTCGTGCAGAAGGCGTATGCTCGGACCTAGTTCAGAAGTAATGTAGAACCGTTTTTCACATTCATTATTCGACGATAAACTGTGCCGAAGGAATATTGCTAACATGTCTGTGAGTATCGGAATCGAACATATTCTTATTAGAAATGCTTCTCTTTTCATACAGCAACAAAAATATTTTCACCATTACAGATCCATTGGATTCATAGTTGCCCGTCTTACCTCAAACTCAATGTCAGAAGTTCAGCACGATTTTGCTCTGTGGACAATTCGATACAGACAAAGCAACTCCGCGGTAAATGAACACTGGTGGCATATGAGTGTACCACAAGTGATTGCGAGTTTTTAACTCTATAGTGCTGCACACAAAAGCTTGCACAATACATTATGGATGTTTTCAATGAAATGAGTGTTTTGAAGAAATCAAAATAAAAGATTATCGACTGAACACAAATTCATCAGACTTCAATGGTGGTGTGTAGTGGGAAAGGCAATTCTAGTCCTAATTTTTCTCGCTCGTAACGCTATTGGTTTGGTCTGCAGAAGGCGTGCCCGTGTTACCTACCCTGACCGTCTTACTCCACTTTCCCCCTATACCTAGATTGGCCGTCTTCCATATCGGCATACCAAATTTGGGATCGATAGGTACCTCTTTTTTGGGTCGTTATAGCGAAAAAAAGAAACGTTCTAGATTTTCAAACTCAACTTTTAGTAATTCTAGACCTGACCTGACCTTCACCAACGTAACCTGAACTGGCCCCATAAATAAGTCGCCTAACCCACATGATCGCATTTGTCATGTAAAAAAGATAGAAAAATAATGTTGCTGAGCTAAGGTCAGAGGCCACCCCCGCTCGGATTTAAGTTTTTTTTTGCCAAAAAATAAACAAAGATCGCGCGAGTCTCCTCTATGCGACGAGAGGCGTGGTGGCTGTGACGCTGCCGCCGCCGGCGACGGCTGCCTATTCTGGGCGCGGACCGGGCCGGCCGGCGCGGAGGCCCGACCCACCGGCTGATTTGTCAGTGCTGCCGTCGCCCGGCGACCCGACAGCTGTTGACGTCCCGACGTGATGACGGGAGAATTAGGGTCAGCCACCCCGCCGCCGGCCAATCGCCGCCGCCGCTGCCGGTCACGTGACCGGCGTCTCTGACGTCACACGTGTCCGGCGGTCACGGCAATTGGACGTGACACGACAAAGTGGAGCATTGGCCGCGGACGGGCGGACAATGGACGGCCGCCGGCCACCGAGCCGGTGACAAAATGGCGAGCCGGTGTCACTGCCGCCCCTCCGCCACAGCATCAGCCCAGGGTGTTTGGGAGCGGCTTGTGAGTCATGGGACACCGACAGGAGTACGATACGGAGAAAAGGAGAGTCGGAACGGGGAAAAGGTAATGCGGGACAATAGAGGCATGCGCAAAACCATTTGGACTATCAACAATTGACCATAAAAATTGGACCGAAAATAAGACGGTATCTCTCTCCACCAGCTGTCCCAAAGAAACATTGGGCGTACGGTACCTACTCAAAAGTTGAGATGAGTCGATAAGAAAATAAGAGATGCTGAGCTAGATATCACAGACACAATCCTACTTCAATTCCCGAAATGTTTCATTGTCGTCGACTGGCACTGTTTTTTTTTCTTAGCTGCAATAGCCGTTTTCACGACGGGCTATCAGGCGAATGCACCTGACTTGACCAAATCTGCATCTAATTTCTTTTACAGCAAATATCTTCATTTTATGAATTTATTTCAGTGTTTTAATCGATGATGCTCTCTGACAATATGACAAAGCAGGCATATAAGCAATTAGTGCAACCCTAACTGATAGCTGCTAAGGGACACACTGAACCTGATTTGACCAAATCTGCACCTAATCTGTACCAGATGTGCACCAAATGTGTACCAGATGGCCGTCGTGAAAACGGCCAATACCTAACTTCACCTATACAAGGGGTGGGCAAAGTCCGGCCCGCGGGCCGGATGCGGCCCGCCAAGCTCCGGCGTCCGGCCCGTGGCCTGGATAGTCAGCCAGCATTGCAATCCGGCCCGCGAAACCTATGATTCCTAGTGTGTGTGTGTGTGCACTGTGCGTTTTACATAAGCAGACTTGATTTTTAGTATGGTTGTCATGGGTCAAAAGTCATTCGTTTGTAAGTGTTACTATAGGTATTTGTCTCTGTCTGAGCCAGTCATTGCCCGTCGTTGGTCAGTCGCGTCATAGCAACATAGCATCCATTTAACCCGCGCGGGGCTGGGGGGGGGGGGTAAATTTTACCCCCCCTCGCGAATTTTTGCGATATCTCAAAAAACGGCGGCGCGCAGCGCCGCCAAACTTTTAGTACCTTTTCTTACATCAATTTGACACGTTCCCTGAAAATGTGAGCGAAATCCGTCGGAAAATTTTTGAGAAATTGACGTTTTAGTGACGTCATGTTCGTCATTTTCGCCTCAAAAACGGCAAAAGTTCAAACGCCGCTAACATCTTCATTTTTAAAGGAATCAAGACGTAACAAAAAAGGTTATACGTAATTTTACTTTGTCTATCAAATGGCTATCTCGGTTTTTTGAAAATTTTGGATTTTGGCCTATTTTTTTTCAAAAAAATGACTTTTTTTGGGAAAATCATTATAAAATCCAAAATTTTGAGTCTATCGAAAAAACCGGAATATATGTCAGAGAAGTGGTCTATGTGCACCTACATACCAAATTTTAGAAGAATCGGTTCAAAATGTGGGAGTTATTCAAAATTTTATGACGTCACGACACACACAATTTTTGAAAAATGACTTTTTTGGAAGTTCTAGACCTCGTACGGAAACAAAAATAGCACCATTCGATTCGCCGTGAAAAACTGCATCAGATAGACACCTTTTTAGGCCTTAACAACCAACTTCAAAATTTGACCTCACTTGACCTGACCTTGACCTGACCTCGACCTGAAATTCATCCAGAGGTGGTCCATATCACTTATTGAGTGTGCCTATTGAATTCTATGAGTAAAATGACCCATAAAACATGTGTCGCACATGCCCTTTTCTATATTTTGTTTCTTGGTGACCTGACCTGACCTGACCTGACCTTGACCTTGACCTCTGAATGATATTGTATGCAACGAATATTGTCTTGGTAGCCTAAGAACACGTTTTGGGCGATCAGTCTCAGTCCATGACTCCATTCTTCGGCAACTACGGTGCAAGGCCGATACTGTAGAAACTTGCAATTTGTACCCTTGACCTGACCTTGACCTGGACCTCAAACTTTAAATTAAGTACATGTTTTTAGTAGTTCGTGATGAGAGCTTTCGATTGGCGTTTGAATTTTCCAAATCGGACCGTTAGTTCGGGAGATAACAGGGGGGGGGGGTAAAATTTACCCCCCCCCCCCAGCCCCGCGCGTTCGGCTGGAGACCCCAGCCCCGCGCGGGTTAAGTCATTGACAAACGAAACTCTGGCGAGCTTAGCACTCAGGCCCCCCAGTTGCTCACAAATGCAACACCCGGCCCGCGCTCCCAATAGTTTGCCCGCCCCTGCTATACTTTTACCAGTAGGCTTGAATTTGAAATAAAACCAAAGTTGTAGCACTGCTCAAATCAGGGTTGCTGAGTCGATAGATTTTCGGGTGACTCCGACTCCAACTCCGACTCCGGCTTCAAAAATGGACTCCGACTCCGACTCCGACTCCGGACGCTCCTCTCAAAATTCATAGAATAATAAAAAATGGCATTGTGAATATTTTTTATTTTGCCTGAAACGATACCTTATCTAATACGTGTCAAGGCCTTGCGTAGCAAATATGCTTTACAGATAGCATGCACAATTAAAAGCAGGTTCCGGTGAATCCGCTGTTTTGGCTACTTTCGCTGAAAACGCTAATCCAATACAGTAGCATGACCTTCTTTTGACAAACTCTGATTTCGAAAGGTCAACGAGCCTAGTATCGTCAAGTAAACTGGTGCAGAGCACGAAGTTGAACCATGCAGCTTCAACTCCGACTCCGGAGTCGAAGTCTGTAAGATTTTGGAGACTCCGACTCTGACTCCGACTCCGGGCAGAATTATCGACTCCGGCTGACTCCAGCCCCCACTCTGACTCCGACTCCGACTCCGCAGCCCCGGTTCCAACGCACGTTTTCCCGTATTTATCAGTCTGCAAGTATCAAACCCAATATTGAAGACTGTCAAAGGTCACTCAGGCTGCCGTGGCTGCTGGCACATCAGCAGCCATTGGCGTAGTACCATTGACGTATAATAAACAGCGTGTCCGGCAGCACTATCGGACAGAACACCGCCCCGCAGACACCGAAAAACCGTGAATTGTAGATCGGGTGAAATTGCCCCCGACAGCCGACACTTGCCGACTCTCAGCCTTCTGTTTACCCGAAATTTCACCATGTTTGACCGGAAATGGCTCCAATCCATGGACAGAATCGAAGAATTGGTCCAAACATTTAACTCCAGTCAATCGCTGAGTACATAGATGCGCTATCAAATCGTAAATCCCATATCGGCGGACGTCGATGGGGCAATATTGGCAAAATTTGAGCGTCGACTACGTAGTTGGCAGGTAATCGGATCACCAGTAGGCATCCTGTGCCTACAGCACACCGCGGCAATTCTCAACAATCGTGAGATCACCGGAGCACCGGCGCCTCTGCTGGTGATGACGTCACATCGGGCTGCCATATCGGATGGTTTTCCCGATAACTCCCGACCTGGGTGGTCCGAACGGTGCTGCCAAACAGGAACGCCGGAAACATGACCGCATAGCTGCGGTACTGGCCATGGCAGCGGCCAGTGGCCTTCTACATCGCAGTAAGTTTGGAGCGCTGAGGTGGCTGATGAGTTGTTGGTAAGTAGACGCTATGTGAGTTAATAGCAAATTACGTTGTTTTGCATGATTAGGTAATAGGTATGCTTAGGTGAAATACAAGTAGGATAGCAGGGTATTCATTCAACCGTAAATTTTAGCTACCAAACATTGCATCACATTAAAATATGTAGTTCGCTGATATCTCCCCTACATCTCGTCACCGATTGCGATGCACCGTGGCGGTGTTTTCTGCGGTTGGAGGCAGTTGGGTTGGTGGTATTTTCTGCGGCCTGCAGTGGATCTCTCGGAAGTGCTGACCTTGCAGCTGCACGGTCGCAGCCGCCGCCGCGCGATCCCAGCCGATTTCCCCCGGTGAGTGATGATTGCCGACGTCTCACCCCGCCGCCCGGTCGCTTTTCTTGCAAGGTCAGTGCACACTCCTAGAAATGCCTCAGCGCCGCGTTTATATGAACTAGGTTTTGTGCTGCCAGCAGTGCCAGGGGCGCGTACATAAATCGCACTATATTTTTAACCGCTATTTGAATTCCACAGAGCTCTGAAACATTTTTGATCGGTGATGTTCCCCTTTCCGAGAGTTGGGGACGTTTCTAGGCACCTTTCTGGGAATTTAGAATCGATAATCGATCACCAAAAGCCAAACACACCCCGGACCGGAGCATTTATCATTGATTAATGACTTCACATCATCAACATGCTTGTGTACGTCATAACGGTGACGAAAATAACACAGGACTGGCGCCTTCTGCCCGTCTGGGCACCTCACAGAGAATGGCAAAAACGACTCCAAGCTCGGTGATCCGCTGTTTCTCGCCGGAAAAGGCGGTGGCGTTTTTATATTAACGGGAGTCCCATTGAGTCATAGTTACACCACATTCTGGTCACCATTCATGAATATAATGTCAACATGGCCGTTGTATTGTACAAAGTGATTCGTAACTTTATCATGTCTTTGTAGAGATAGATGAAAAGTGATAACAATTAAAGCCCGCTTCAAAGTCAAAGCTTTAAAGTCCGCTTCCGGAAGATTTTCTTGCTTCACTTATCGTAATGGAATGGTTATTTATCGAATGGTAGTGTACTTCTGTCATTTGTCTTCCTATCCTTTCCATATTTCTTGTCTCTGAAGAAGACAACTGTTACATTTGTGCGCACACGTCATTTCCTGATACGTTCCAACATGCTATCTCCACAAAGCAACCCTCACATAATATCCGGTGTATTTAATCGTCAGTACAAAATGCTCAACCATGATCTTAAGAATAACATGAGAATGAACAGCTCTGGTAGAAAGTCTAGGCAGCAGATGACAGTGCAAGGTAGCACTATTAAATACAATTATCCGTCCACTCTCTCCCACACAGCGATAGCTCGATGTGCCCGGTGCCAGCCCAGGGCGTCCAAGATCAACAACAATGCAATGTCTGTGGCGCTGGTGGCCGGCGGACCTGAGTGCCTCACCCTGCCGACCTGCCCCGAAAAGTCTCCGATCACAGCTCGCGCCGCGCGCACCGCTCACACCGACACCTTCTTCACCGACTTCTTCAGCGTGTCCAGCTTCTCCGAGAGCGACGACGTCTTGCTGAGGTCGGGCACGGACGTCTTGAGCGGTGAGGTGGTGAACCGACTGGGTGCCGGTGTTGAAGGCCTGCTGCCTCCCGAGATGAAGCTGCCCAACTTGCGACCGACGTCGAACACGGAGAATTTGCGCGGCGGCGCTCCCGGCTGTGGTGTGTGCGATCCGCCCGAGCCCGCCGAGCCGCCCGACGAGCCGGACGAGGTGGCGCCCGAGCAGACGCTCTCGCCGTCGCTGGTGCGGCCCTCAGGTTCGCGCGCGGTCGCCGCCGCCGCCGTCGGCCGCAGCTCCACCGGGGACACGATGTCCACCAGCTGTGTCTCGCCGTGTGGCGGTAGCTGCAGGCGGCCTCGGGGCCGCCGCCGGCGCAGACTGCTGCCGCTGTCTGCTGCCGCCGCCGCCTCGCGCGACGAGCCGCGGCCGGCGCGCGGCAAACTCGAGAACGCGTTACGGATGGCGTCCATGCCGGAGCGGCGTCGCTTCAGCGCCAGACACTGACGGATCACGGCGTGGAAGAGTGCGGTGATCTCCTCGGCTGACTCGGAGGCGCTCACCTCCTCGTGCTGACAGCAGAGCCGAGAGGCCGTCTCCTGAGCGCGGGTCGTGTCCACCTGACGACACAAAGACCGCCCGTCAGATCACACGGCTGAGTTGAGTGCAGAGGACGGAAATAGTGCATGGGAGCGTTCGGGAACAGAAATAACCGACCAACTGATGCTGTTTAATGAGCCATGGAGTAGTAAAGAGATCAACTGTCCGCCTGTATATTCCGATGCGATGATAGCGCCCCGTAGCTCACCTGGTTCAGGTGTATGAGGTCGGTCTTGTTCCCGACCAGGATGGCCGGCGCTGGCACCTCCACACCGTCCCCGGTACTGTGGGGCCGCTGCGGGGTGCCGGATCGTTTCCGGCGCGCCGCCGGACTCTTGGAGCTCTCCCGCGAGACGGACGCGGCGCGCAGCGAGCCGCCGGAGACAGACGCGGCGCACTTGGAGCCAGTGCGGCGCACCTCCTCCAGCAGCTGACTGGCGTGCTGGAACGACTCCGGTGTGGTGACCGAGTACACCAGCAGGAAGCCCTCGGCCCAGTTGCGGATGTTGTGGTGCACCAGGGAACCGCTCTGGAACAGACAGAGAAACATGTCAGCTCGGAAGGAGAGAAGAAAAGATGAAGGGATTGCGATTCGTGTCAGCCCGCAAGGGATTGTTTACAACCAGGATTAGTTGCAACCAATTAATTTTTGAACTATGAAAGTCTTTGATTTTTTATGAAATAAAACTCACAGTTTTGTTAAACTTTAAGTTGCAATGCCTTGAGATGGTGTTTTATCACGCGCAGTGGAAGGGGGGGCGGATTTCGCCCACCCCTCCTGTTTTTCGCCAATAACTCGCGCCGCAAGCACAATATTAATTTGAAATTTCGGCTACCTGTCCAGAATTGAATTGCGGATCTTCTCGTGCAAGAATTAAGAAAATCGGTTCACAACTTTTCTAGTAATAGCGGTGTAAAGTCAAACATCCTGCCGCCGCGGCGGCGCGGCGGCGCGGCGGCCGGCGCTAGCCGTTACGCGCCACCTGAATTGTAGACTGTGCCGGGGCGGGACGGTTCCGTCTTTACATCGCGCTCCTTACCGCTGATTACATTAGATTCGCGTCAAATTCGGTGAGAAGACTGAGAAATGTACAGGCAATCATATGGTCAAAGAATTTTGAAAATCGGCCGGTAACAACTTGAGTTATGAGTGTGTAAACACAAAATTGTGATTGTCGCGTTTCCCGCGTCGGCCGATCCCACTTCAGCCGGCGACATCTTACCCTTAGCAGGCTTCTAAATGCCATATTTATTGTTGGATTATCTAGAAATTCACCATACGTACTCACAAATGTTTGTTCTTTCGTATAGTGAAAGATTAAAGAAAATCGGCCGGTAACTTCTTGAGTTATCGGCGTGTAAACGCAAAAAAGTCGCAAATATGGCAGATTTGACCACATTTGACCTCATTTGACCTTGAAGATATTGACCTAGGGTCATGAAATTCACACACAACAGAGTTTCCCATGGCCCCCACCTACCCTCCAAATTTCGTCTTTCTAGCTCCAGTGGGAGCTGAGATCTTAGGGGGGGGGGCGACATCCGCCCCCCTTCCACTGGGCGTAGTACTCGCAACCCTTCCACTGCGCGTGTTATGTTACATATACTCGTGGTCAGACGTAATATATTTGTTCCCCGAAACAACAGGATTCTAAGAGGAGAGAACATGTAAAATATACCCGTGTTGAACTAAAAGATGAGCTGCGTAAGGGAAGGGACCCAATGGATGGCTCTTTCTGATCCGCATGGTGGAGATTCGCCGAAATTTAATTCGCAGTTATCCTTATTCCATGACGTTCTTGTAAACAAAACATGTGATACAGTGTTCCGCTCTTGGGATTCCCGGTATTTTTAGACACGCTCATCCAAACGTGTTGTGCTTGCTGAGCTATCCTGAGCCGGCTGTTCTCAGAATCCATCTCTTCCCACACCGTTACGAGACACCAGTCGTGGCCACGAGCCCACCTGGGGCCATCATTCACATCCCACGAGCATCCGGCACCTTCAGCCGTGAGTTACAAGTTTACCGACCTACACGGCTCGCCGACCTCCACAAAGAGAGTCCGCGACACATCTCAGTGAATTGTTGCCCGCCCCAGAGACCGGGGTTCAGCGAAGACGCCCGCGCCGCGCCGCCCGCAGCGGCATCCCATCCATTTGGGCGTGAGCTCCCTGAGCCATTTCGAGACTGTGCAGAGGCGGACCGACCCCGTCACTGCATGGCACGCGCCAAGTGACCTGGAGTGTTCCGCGGCGCTGCGCTCGTCGCCCTGTTGCCGGCGGGTGGCAGCTCGTTACGACGGTCGCGCGGAGTCTGGCCTAGTTCGGAGGCTCATCAGCGTCCCGACACGGACCGAAACGCGCCCTGACCCGGCTGAGGGTCGTCACCGCTGACGGGAAGAGGTCAGGCCACATGGGAGTGGTGTCGGGCGCGGCCAACGCACGGGGGCGACTCGTGGTACCCGCTGTTGGCGGGCGGCGAACGACGAGGCTAAAACAAGTCCTGCGCGTTCCTCATGAACGCAGTATGCGCAGGGTAGTATGAATGTTAAGTATGAGGAAGGCACTGTGGTGAATGAAATGTTACGATGCCACGCCCTTTTCGAAGCTACCCTGGAGCGGACCGGCTCATGTGGAGCGCCTTTGGTGTCGGCCGGGCGCGGCCGACTGGCGGCGGACCGTCTGGCGACCGTCCCGGCCTGTCGGCTGCCAGTGCTGGAGGACAGCGTCACGCAGCGACACAGTAACTGGGTCGTGCCGGCGTCGTCTGTCACTGGATTATGTGGCAAGCTGCGGACAGGGTCAGGGACAGCCCGGCCGCCGCGTCGGGCCGCTGCAGCTGCTGCCTATCGGATCGGACCGGTCGCACACCTGGAGCCAGTGTCAGTGTCATGGGCGCGGCTTTATGACTGCGGGTGGCAGAGCGCCGCGCCAGACGGCCTAGTTTTCTGTTTCCTCTATGAGGGTGACGACAGGTGTGACAGCAGAAAAGATTTCGCCGGCGTGTGACGGTGCGTTTCGTTCGCTCTGATCGTTCAGCGACCGGCGTATGAAGCGAGTGTTAGCTCACTCTGGCGAGTTTACTACAAACAAAGCGCACGTCAACAGAATGAACTGGGTCATGCATACATCATAGGCCAGACTGAAGAGCGCCGAGGCACAATCCAGGCTAAAATAGCCCACACAGGCCAACGAGAGAGCCAGCCGACCTGTCTGACTCATGAGCCTGATGGTTTTTCAGCCTCACGCCCTCGCTCCAGAGTGAGGACTCCTCTCCACTCCACCAACCACAGCTTCCGTGATTGGACCGCGGCGGAAAGACAAGGTCATGCTCTATGTACCTGCTTGCTCGCCGTTTTTGTTTGTAAAGGCCGTCCTTCCTAATACATACGGCCAACGATTAAAACGGAAGGCTGCTTACAGTCATTTACCGCTGGCCAAACTAATTTGAGATGCTTGTCTCCAGGAATCCCTTTCAGGATCGATATCATGTGGGTAAAGGTAACGTCGCCGTGGGAAATACCAGAGATTTGTGCTGGGATTAGCACTTGAACCGGACATATCCTCCTAGTCAGGCTCGATTTCTGGAACGGTCAGAGGGGCGGACTGCTGCGGTCTGGTACTGTTTTCAGACAAAACACGGGTCAATGAACGACCGACAGACTGCGAGACCGGCCCGGGAGCTGCATGTTCCAGTATTTGACGCACATTTCCTTAGAACGGTGAGGTTTTAGCGGGTAGTGAGACATTGTCCTTCAAACGCACGTCATTTATGTCAGAAAACAATTTGTCACAAGCTTACCTGGACAGATGTGGAGACGTCAATGATGTCGACCTTTATTGTACTTCCATCGAGTTTGATTACTTGGTGGTACATCATATCTGCAACAAGAGAAACCGATATGCTGATGCTCAAAGTCAGTCCTGGTGGTCTTCATTAGAGCAGTTGAATGAAAAGATGCATATTAAATGTTAGCAATGGATAAGGTTTAAAAGTAATTAAGTTCAAAAAAGGAAAAAACCAGGTGCACGTAGATGCAATGCAGCCGACTCCAAACGGAATGCAATGTGCTATAATTTATGCTACCGGCGTCCCAGCAATGCAAGTGATCTCACCTGTATTTGACTTGTACTCTCCGATAAACCGATGGGTCAGGTACCGAACTGTGATTGCTGCAAAGAAAGAGAGAACAGACGTTATTCATTATTGCCGTGAATGCAGAAGTTTGATAAACAAAAATATTCACAAGTGAAATAAAGCATCATACACAAAGATATCGAGCTACAAGGAGAAGATGGCAATGGGAAATACAACTTTTTCTTTTTGTAAAGAAACATAGATCATTCATCGACCTTGGCGCGTTGGTCTGACTGACAGCTTTTAGTACCCCAGCAATGCCTAAGACGGTCTCCAGCCACCTGTCGCGCCTCACCTGACTTTCCAACGCCCTGCATCCCGAGCACAGCAATGCGGACCGTCTCGTCCGACTGTCCGAGCTCTGCCAGCGTGTCCAGGTCGGGACTCATGTCCACAGTGGGAGCGGGCCGCATCGCACCGCCGCCTCCCTGACCGGCACTGCCCGCTGCGAAACGGAGAGAGAAAGACGCTGTCAGCCGGGGTCGAGTGGACGGGACGGGGTGGCGCGAGGGGAGACGACACCGCACAGCTGCGGGATAGGGGACCGGAAATGGATAGAGCAGGAGAAATCTGAAGGGATATGGCTGGCAGACATGCGCATGGATCCGAGTGATGGATCTATGATCTCAGTGGATCTCGAAGCAAACTGCAGGTTCGGATCTATGATCCCACCGGATCCGGCGTGAAAAATTTATCCTGGATCTATGATCTCTCAGCATCTGATGATAAACCAAGAACACGGATCTATGATCTGAGTGGATCCCACCATGCACAACATTTTAAACCAAGTTTGCAAGTGTTTCTATGTCAATAAGTGCCATAAAACTATGGCTTATGATGTGCTATCACATAAATCACTAAATAAGAACGTTTGTGAGTTGCAACGAGCGATTTTTTGGGATTTCTCTGTTGACAATAAATAAATGAGGATCTATGATCTCACTGGATCTCAAGCAAAAATATCAGACTCGGATCTATGATCCCTACGGATCTGTCGATAAATTTAAGAACTGGATCTATGATCCCGACGGATCCGAGATCAGGATTCGTGAGATCAGATCCCAGATCCATTTTTTTCGGATCCACACACATGTCTGATGGCTGGAAAAGTTGTTCTAGCTCTATCGTGCTAAGGATGTTCATATTTGCAAAGTCGTTCGTGAATGTTTGTTTGGCAAAGTTGTTTGGCATAACACTTTTCAGGTTTTTTTGGCATGGGTAGACGAATTGTAGACATTCCAAAATCCGTCAATTAGATAACGTCATGCCATGCTCTAAATATCTACCAATATTTTGTACTAACTGGCTGAAGTAAGGTATGGCAGAGCTGAATTAGAGTTAGCCATTCTCCTTCATTTTTGTTAGAGACTGTGCCAATTCATATCGTCCCGCACTTCCCACGGCCGGCGGCCATCTCAGTCGGATAGTATGATGAATGAAGTGACCGCCGCCGCCGGGGCCATTCAGAGAGTCACCTGCGTATGGCAGACGGCCAGGGCGGCGCTACCACCTCGCGCCAAGGGAGCTTGTCTCGAATACCGGTGTGGTGACCGGAGCTGGTTGGAATGTGGCGGCTGAGAGCGCTCCGGAACTGTCACGCTCGGTGGGCGCCGCAGCTCGGACTTCCCTGTGGACGGCGCTAGTGGGGAGTTCCGAACACCTCAGTCGGACCCGCCCCGACACTGTGCCGGTCCGCCCCGACTCCGATCGGCCGTCCACGGCGGTGGTCCCGGCTCGTCCCGGCACCCTGTGAGGGGGCGCAGTTGGCTCGTCGAGACCGGCACGATGTCGGCTCCGACCGCGGCTCGGAGGCGCCTTTGAAAGGGATCGGCGCGGCGCGGCTGGCGGCGGGCCATGACCCCTGCCCCTCCCCTCGCAGTGCCTCCCCGCTCAGTCGGAGGCGTCCTCGGCCAGCCTCAGGAGCCGGCAGTGGTGGCCTGCAGTCCATACCCGGACCGATCCAGGACGGACCCGAGTCACCCGACAGCCCTACCGCCGGAGGAACCGGACATGACTCGTACGAGTGCAGGAATCACCAGCCAGGCAGCTACTACCGCGGGAAGTTATAGTTCCGGTGGGACTTCCGAGAAAATAAACAGGAGCGGTCGGGGAAGTCTTCCTGTATCTTGTGAGACATAATCTGTTCATGGGAAAGAAGCAGGGGAACTGATAGCACGAAATTGAATACAAACCCTCAAGAAAACCGTAGGCGGAATGCGCAATACCTCGGCCTGTGGTATAGACGGTTTGTGCATTCGTGTCATCAAACTGTGTTTTGATGCGATTGGAGTGCCTCTTTTGAATATTGTGAACACCTGCCTCGCGAACTGTGATTTTCCGGTAGCCTGGAAACACTCCTTAATCCATCCCATCCATAAATCCGGTCCTTCCTCCAATCCTGCCAACTTCAGACCCATTTCCTTAGTCCCCGTCATGGCCAAAATCGTCGAGAAAATCGTTCAGCGTCAACTCTATGCTTATCTCTCTACTAACGATCTTTTAGCCTCGTCTCAGCATGGTTTTAGACCGAAACATTCAACGGAAACTGCACTGATTAGCGTATCTGACTGCATTTTATCTGCTACTGATCGAGGTTCTCTGACTCTTCTCTGCTTGATCGATTTAAGTAAATGTTTTGATGTCATCGACCACTCCAAGCTTTTGACAAAATTACAGCAGCATGGTGTCGACGCTGAATGGTTTCGCTCTTACCTTACCGACCATACTCAAAGTGTTTCTATCCCAGATCCCGTTTCCGGCCGTAATCGCCTCTCACAGCCACTGCCGAACGCCATGGGCGTTTTCCAGGGGTCGGCCCTTGGGCCCTTACTTTATACTGTTTTTGCCAATGATCTGAGTTTTTACGCACCGGATGCTCATGTCGTACAGTATGCTGATGACACGCAAGTTTTAGTGTCAGGAAGTAGGGGTGATTTGACTGAGTTAGTGTCGCGGATGGAGAGCTGCCTTGCGTCGCTCGACTTATGGTTCAGGGGTAACTCCCTGAAGGTGAATGCTTCCAAGACGCAGCTGATGGTGTTCGGCAGCCGGCGGAACCTCCGTAGCGTTCCCACGCTCGAGGTGCGGTTCCGCGGCGAGAGTCTCCGTCCGGAGCCTACGGCACGCAACTTGGGTGTCGTTTTCGACCCGATATTGTCTTGGGACGCTCATGTCGCACATGTCGTGAACAAGTGTTTTGGAATGTTGATCGGTCTTAGCCATATTCGACATCATTTGCCTCAAAATGTAGTTCCTACTATCGTACACGGTCTCGTCCTGTCACATGTCAGATACTGTTTAACTGTTTATGGCAACGGCTCAGACAAAAACCACAAACAGCTCCAAAAAGTCATTAACTTCTGTGCCAGGGTTATAGCTGGCAGGCGCAAGTTTGACCACATCTCTGACATCTTAAATGGTTCGGACTGGCTTACCGCTAAGCAACTGTCGGAGTTTCATACTTTAACCCTCGCTCATCGCATCTTACGATCGGGAGAGCCGTCTACACTTGTTTCACTTTTTAGAAGAGTGTCTAGTTTACGTGACCGACCCACGCGACAAGACAGCCATTTTTATCTACCTTGTGTCAGGTCAGAGGCAGGACGGCGTCAGTTTGCGTACCGAGCCCCACAGCTATACAACAGTGTGCCGGAACGGCTGACTACACTCAGCACGGACGTCTTCAAGCGGAACTTGAGGCGTACTCTGAAGTGAGAAGCGACTACTGTGTGGTGTGTGATGCTTTTACCATTGTATGAGCAGGTGTGTTTCCAATTTTGTAAACTTGTACGTACCTCTTACTGCCCTGTATGACACTGGACCAAGAATAGCCACAGCTGCAGTGGATGGTTCAAAGATGTGCAATAAATAATAAATAAATAAATAACCCACCTTTAGATAAAAACAAATAATTTAGTTGTTTGTCGTTAAGATGAAATGGTTTTGCTGCCCCGAAAGCACTTTTTAACGTATTTCTGTAAGAGCTGTTACTTTTTCCGAGTTGTACTTGCTTGCGTCAGACAGCGGCAGCACGCTTGCTATTTGTTTTTTCCTTTGCGACAAGCCTGGCAATATTTCTGATGCAATTTGCATTCTGTTTTAACCGATCTTTTCAATCGCTAGCCATATCTTGAGAGTAACTATTTTCTATATGGGAAAATATCATAAGAAGACGAAAACTGAGGAACTGCTCTCTCAATCTCCTTGTCCAACTGCTGCTCAGCGGATCAGGCCCGCGGCGGCTGTCCGTTTTTCTCGGCTGCGTCTCTCGGTGTCGGCGGCGCCGGCGGCGTTGGCAGCTCTCGGCGCGCGCTCTGGGCCGGCGCTGACCTTGTGTCAGACACGCCAGTAAGCCGGAGCTGGCAGCCAGAGGTGCGCACACACGCCGGAAAGCGGCCGGCCGCCGGATCGCCTGGCATCTCCGCTCTGGAGGGTTCGACGACCGGGTCCAGTCGGCCCTGCACGGCCGAGCACTGACCGTGCAAGGCGAGACCTTCGAGAGGAATGCGGCTCACTGAAATAGTTGGCTCGGCTGGTGGCTGGGGTTGCAGGTCTGCTTGGAGGACATGGGAGCAGACAGGTGTCGTAGAAGTATCAAAACACGCTATCATAACTGCGTAATGATCATGAAATTCGGCACTCATGCTGCACATTGTAATACACAAGAATATGGTGGAATAGCGCTTGATCATATATAATGTTTCAGTCTCAGCTCGCTCACAAATCATCTGGTGGCATTGCTGGGTCCATCAAATTTGGATATTTGAAGAAAAAAACCTTTTATGCAGTAGAATGTCGATATCTGTAATAAAAATTAATGGCTTTCTGTTGTCAAATGACCACTGTTGTCAAATTCAAAACAAACCTACAACCGATGTTCTAAATAACGGTGTGTTTGGCCGCAATTGCAGAGTCAAAGTGTGTTAATCGATTTCTTCAGGTCGTGGGAATCAGAGTTCAAGTGCGAATCTCGATATGTCCATTGCTTAAACACTGTTGTGTTGTGAGAGTTCCTACAAATTAGCAAGTAATAATGAGAGCAGACAGTGAAAAGCTTAGGACAGGAAGCTTCGAACACTCAGCCTTCTTGCTTGTTGATAACGTAAACGGTTACAGCAAAGAACATCCCGTTTGTAGTCATTAGCCCTCGTCATTGTTGATGCCTCCGAGTGTCAGTACAACAATCGACCGCAGAGCACGTTTCGTTTACGACCTCCACTTGTTGTGAACGGCCTAGGTCGCCCGACTGTTTATTCGTTTGGCACAGGCGCGTCGTTTGGAAACGCGGCCGTGGCGAACGCGCCACTATGTGTAAACGGCCCCGGTTTGTAGGAGGGCGACACCCAGTTTACTCCCGGGCGTGGCACGAGGTTTGTTTAGCTCCAGCGTGACCGTGACATTCCTCCTTGGAAAGCCGCACGTCACACCGCTCACCTGTGCCCAGGA